TGCGAAAATGTAATCGGCTTGCTTAAGGTGGGTTCACATTGATAAATATTTTTACGTTGCGTGTTGAATTTTGGCAAACGTATTTGCCACGGAAATTTATAATGGTCACGTTTTTATAAACTGCAACAGATTCCTTTATTTACAACGCGCGATTATCTGCGTTATCTTAATGGTAATCTATAAAAATAATGCTATAAAGGAGCTATTTTGTAACGATTTTTTAAGTTTTGATTGATGATATGGCACACTCTTGCTTTCTCCTCAATCTTAACATTACCTAACTGTTTTGTTTGTAGTTTATACTATTGATGATTACGTATGCATATTATAATGAACTTTTACTTGCACCCTAAATCTTTTTTATAACAAACAGTATAATTAATTATTAATAAAAATGTACAGAAGGTTAAATGACTGCACAGAAACAAGATAACAATGAATAAAGTATTTTGTATTCATTGCAAGAAAACGTGCGAATTGCAGAATATAAACGAGATAAAAAACGTCGTTTATTTGAAAAGGTGCAAAAACTCTGTTATATATTTGTATATTAAATAAGATAATCGGACACTCGAGATTCAGATTAACAGTGGGACCTCTGGTGGCAGCACATTGTAATTAATCTAGATGATGTTCGAACTTGGATTCCAGTGAAAAAAGACAGATTTAAAACTTTAGGTTTACATTCGCATCAGAAAGAGAGATTGGGTGAAAGATCGAATGACGCTACCTTGTTAATTTATAAAATATGTAGTTATGTCTTGTTAATTAAATACTTATTATTACAATTACAATCCCTTTAGCGTTTGGATCGATTTTGACTTATTTCGAGTACGTCTGTTCAATTTGTTTTCAAGCTTGTGCACTATTTTGTTTGTTTGACATTTATTTAATTAAAACTTAAAAAACTTTCATAGGAATTTTTTAAAAAGTTAGTATTTCACAGCACTCGACAGTTTCCACCTGACATTTTTGTTGATATTTGAAAACCTTATAGGTACCTGTTAAAAGGTGTTCCTTGAAATATTTTTTTTATTTGTCTCACACACAATGACTACATTTTATAATCATTAGAATCCTTAAGTAAGGTATGTTTCACGAGGTGATTTATGATTGGTGCCAAAATTTCAATCAGCACATTCCAAATCCTTCACAAACTTTAAGTTTTGAAAGATGTTGTTTCAGGTGGGGTGGCGTTCATCATTTGTCCCATAATCACAATTAGCATATTTAAATTCCTTAGAAACAGTATGTTTTAAAAGGTGGCGTCTAAAGTGGTGTTTATCATTTGTGCCGTAAGCACAAGTAGCACATTTAAATTCCTTCGCAACATTATGTTTTAAAAGGTGACGTTTGAAGTGGTATTTATCATTTGTCCCATACTCACAAGAAACACATTTAAATTCCTTAGAAACTTTATGTTTCAAAAGATGTCGTTTCAGTTTGCGTTTATCATTTGTGCCATAATCACAATCGGCACATTTCAAATCGTTCAAAACTTTGTGTATCAAAAAATGATGTTTAAGGTAGTGTTTATTATTTGTCCCATAATCACAATCAGCACATTTAAAATTTTTCAAAACTTTACGTTTCAAAAGATGTTGTTTAAGGTTGTATTTATTATTTGTGACATAATCACAATCAGCACATTTAAAATATTTAAAAACTTTATGTTTTAAAAGATGTTGTTTGAAGTGGTGTTTATAATTCGTCTCATAATCACAATCAGCACATTTAAAATCTTTCAAAACTTTATGTTTTAAAAGATGTTGTTTGAATAGGTGTTTATTGTTTGTCCCATAATCACAAGTAGCGCATTTAAGATCCTTCGAACCTTTATGCATTAAAATATGTTTTTTAAAGTTACTTTTATACTTTGTCTCATAATCACAATCAGCACATTTAAAACGCATAAAAACCTTATGTTTTAAAAGATGTTGTTTGAAATTGTGTTTATAATTTGTCTCATAATCACAATCAGCACATTTAAAATCCTTCAATACTTTATGTTTTAAAAGATGTTGTTTGAAGAGGTGTTTACTGTTTGTCCCATAATCACAACTAGCACATTTAAGACCCTTCAAAACATTATGTGTCATAAGATGTTTATTAATGTTACTTTTATACTTTGTTTCATAATCACAATTGTCACATTTAAAATCCTTCGAAACTTTATGTTTCAAAAGATGTTTTTTAATGTTACTTTTATACTTTGTGTGATAATCACAATCGACACATTTAAAATCCTTCGAAACTCTATGTTTCAAAAGATGTTGTTTAAGGTTGCGTTTATTAGTTGTGTCATAATCACAATCAGTACATTTAAAATCCTTAGAAACATTATGTGTTAATAGATGTTGTTTAAAGTTGCCTTTATGATTTGTCCCATAATCACAACCAGCACATTTAAAATCTTTAGATACTGTTTTACACAGAGTTAAAAGGTGACGCTGAAAGGAAGAGTGTTGCTGTACTTCTTCATTATAAAGAGATTTAGAACACTGCGCACTATTGCTAATTTCATCTTTTATTGTCACCACAGCTTCGTTAATTACCAAAATGTTTCTTTGAAAAGAGGTATCGATTTCTTCTTCCCGTTTTGGTTCGATTTTAATGAGTAGTCTGTCATTATCTCCATCCATATCTAACAATAACAATAAATTTGTAAAAATCTGTTTAGGTTCACTAAAAATCTAGAAACCATATGTTTTAAAAGATGTTTGAAGAGGTGTTTATTATTTGTCTTATAAGCACAAGTAACACATTTAAGATCCTTAGAAACTATATGTTTTAAAAGATGTTTGAAGTTGCTTTTATAATTTGTGACATAATCACAATCAGCACATTTAAATTCTTTAGTAACTTTATGTTTTATGAGGTGTCGTTTGTAAAGGCGTTTATTATTTGTCCCATAATCACAAGTAGCACATTTAAAATCCTTATAAACTTTATGTTTTAAGAGATGTTGTTTGACGAGGTGTTCATTATTTGTACCATAATCATACGCAGCACATTTAAAATCCTTAGACACTCTTTTACATTGAATTAAAAGACGTTGAAAGTAAGAGTGTTGCTGTGCTTCTTCATTATATAGAGATTTAGAACATTGGCCCGTATGAATAAAAGTAAGCAAATGCTTATACTTGCAAAATTCAAAGTAAATACTCGTAAGTGCTCCTTCGCACTGGGCGACTTAGCAGCGCTTCTAAGCAGAAGGACAGGACGCAGTGCAACGCTGCTAAACCATGCTAAACTGACCAGTATGAAGGGGCAGTTACGAGTATTTACTTTGAATTTTCTAAGTATAAGCATTTGCTTACTTTTATTCATACGGGCCATTGTGTACTAATGGTAACCTCATCCTTTACTGTAACCAAAACTTCGTTGCTTACTGAAAGGTGTTCCTGAAGAAAGGAATGGATTTCTTCTTCTTGTTTTGGTTCGATTTTAAAGAGGAATGTGTCAGTACCTTTATCCATACCTAACAACAATAATATATTTGATTTATCAAAAATCTATTTTGATATTAAACAATATATAAGGTTTGTTCGTTTGTCTGCACTAATCAACACCGGTGTACCAAATGCGTTCGTTTGTCTGTTTGTAACTGCATGCATTCTGTTCGTTTGTGTAGTGCAATTTGCCCATTTCAGTTCATAACAGCACAAACTTGTTCGTGCATTTTAGTGCGAGCAACTTAGTGCAGCATAAATTAGACGTGAAAAGACCGTTCTCATAACCATAAACATTTTGAAAAAACAAGGTGGGGAATCTGCGATGAAGAAATTATTGGAAATGGAACTTTTATTTCATGATATTATTGAACAATTTATAAGTAGATCGTCAAGTGACTAGTGAGGAAGATAATATTGCAGAGGTCATACAACAAGTAAATGAAAAATAGTTTCCTGTATAATAAATAATAAATTTTTTTTGCTGGTTATTTATTTACTATACCCTAAATAAGCGTTCGTTTGTTAGATGCCAGTGCATCAAAAACTGATTACTCCAGCTTGCACCGTGACGTCACATCAGTGTTGCACCAAACCAATCGCGCAAGACAAACGAACAAACCTATAGAGACAGATCCCAGGGCAATCAAATATTCAGCCGTTAAACTTAATTATGGTTATCTGTCAAAAATGATATTCTCATATATGTCTATGGTCATTTTACCTATACCAAGGACGTTAAAAATACACGTCCTTGGCCTATACATAACGCAAAATAACGTTTTTCGGCAGACATATGCTAATACTCATATGTCTACGTAACCTGCACGTTAAGTTTGACGTTTCTGGTACATCACAGGGCTGATTACTTACTTTCTGAGTAACAGAATTTGTTGAATAAAGTGTTACACAATACCCGATCAAAGACAATGCTACTAAATTTACATGTCGCTTTGGTTATACGCATACTGAATTACCGACGAAGGACGCGGCGCAATTCATATACAGGGTGTTACATATATGTATGTTAAAAAATAGGGTACAAAGGGGCTCAAAGAAACACTTTTTCCAAATAAACAGAGGGCCCAACGTGTTTTGTTTGGAAGCCACTCTCAAAAAAGTGGTGAAATTTGCGATTCATTTTAAATTTTTTTCTCAGCAACCATATTGTTGAATAGATTTTGCGGTATGCGTTCCGATTTTGAAAAATGTTCAAATTCCTACCACGAAAGAGCGCACCAAAACGTGGGTGCGATATCGACGAAATTTGGTAACTGGGGTTTATTGAACATGAAACTAGTTTTTGAAAATTCGATAGCTACGCTCTCATTTTCCGTAAATTCTGAAGAATTTTTTACACAAATTTTGATTAACACCTGAAATAAATCTTGGCGACTAATAGAAAAAATCTTTGATGAAAACTCTACCAGAGTCGCACAAAAGATTACAATAAAAACAAGTATACCTAGTTGATTGCAATGACAAAAAATTATGCCGAAATACATGAAACAATTAAAACAAAATCCCTGCAAGAAAGAAAAGCGTACATTCACAGTATCTGGTATGTTTTATGACTGGTCTGCATGTATTTTATTATCATGTTGTGAAATTATTTATAATTGAACAATTTTTAATGTCTATGGAGTAAAATAAATAATAAAATTATTACTATTATAGTAGATAATTAGCAGAATGCCAATTCTGGATCCAATCAGAGTAAAGGTCCTAAACCACAGCCAGATGAGCCTAGTGAGAAACAAAGGCTGAAAACAACACAACTATTTTTCTAACGTACCTAATGTGGTCATTAAATTTGTTCCTTTCACTGAGATACGGTCAGGAGACCCTAATGTATCTCAAAAGATGTTGCTCAAATTTATTATTTGTGATTCTAAAAAGTTTAGACCCCTTTTTGTTTTAAAAGATGCTATTTAAGATAATTTTTACTTTTGATCACATAATTGTCTTTTATGTTATGTTTTAAGAGGCATTGTTTAAAATACGATTTATAATTTGTCTCATAGTCACAATTAAATCAGTACGTTTAAGATCCTTCGAAACTTTATGCGTCAAAAGATGTCCTTTGCAAACGCATTTATCATTTGTGCCATAATCACAATTAGCACATTTAAAATCTTTAGAAACTTTGTGTTTTAAAAGATGTCGTTTGAAGTCTTTTTTAATATTTGTTCCATAATCACAATCAGCACATTTAAAATCTTTAGAAACTTTGTGTTTTAAAAGATGTCGTTTGTAGAGGCGCTTATTATTTGTCCCATAACCACAAGTGGTACACTTAAAATCTTTAGAAACTCTATGTTTTAAAAGGTGTCGTTTAAGATATGATTTATAATTTGACTCATAATCACAATAAGCACATTTAAAATCTTTAGAAACTTTATGTTTTAAAAGATGGTATCTGAAATACTTTCTAACATTTGTCCCATAATCACAATCGGCACATTTAAAACATTTATTACGCTGCGTTGAAACGTTATGTTGCAAGTCAGATTCCCGTATTTCTTCATTATAAAGAGGTTCAGAACACGGTGTACTAAGGGTTACTTCGTCCTTTATCGTCACCAAAACTTCGTTACTTACTGAAATGTGTCCTTGAAGAAAGGAATGTATTTCTTCTTCTTGTTTTGGTTCTATTTTAATTAGTAATGTGTCATCTCCATCCATACCTAACAACAATAAATAAATGTGTTAAAATGGTTGTTACTTACTGTTTGAGTAACAGAGTTTGTTTAAATAAGAACAACCTGAAAAACTTTTAATGCAATGAAATGAGATTTGCTATGTTGCTTTAGTTATACGCCTTTCATAATACCATAGAAAACTAACCCATAGGTCTTGCCATAGCTTTTCTATGGATGTAATGTTTGAATAAACAAAGAAACTAGAAATTCACATATTTTCTTAGATCAGTTTATATGATCTAAGCATATTTTGTTCTAGTCTCCAACTAAAATCCCTAGTAATCTAGGGACTTTACCTCCAACTATTTTTTTTAAAAGCTTGGCGGGCTAACGCCAACTTCAAGTTACACTGACCTCACGCATGTTCGTCTCATCGTCGGAAATGTTTGCTGTTTACAGGCAGTGGCGGCTCGTAAGCTGCGTAGAAGGTAGTGCCAAATTGTGTCCCCCTCCCCACTATTTTAATAGTTACAAATTTTTGTTTTCATATTCCAGTTATTTAGATTTTGAATATAATTCGAATATTTATAATGCAAGTGACGGAAACAAACCTAGCCCCTTTAATTTCTTTGGGGACTTGTTTCATGATAAGTATACTTCAAGCATGCACTCATAGTGCCGTTATGCTTCTGTTCAGATAGAAAATCAGTCAGAAAATAGCAACATATATTTATGCTTACGTTACTTCCCCTTGAAATAAAAAATTAATTACAAATTTATATTCGTAATAAACTAAATGGATATTATTTCTTATGTCTACATCAATGTTTATTAAACTTACATCTGTACTCAAACTTAAACAAAATTATTCCGCAGCATCTTCTGTCTTATGTTTCTTCTTCTTCTTTTTCTTCTTTTCGCTAACCGATGTATCTTGTGGCTCTTCCTTAATCTCTTGCTCTACTACCGCAGATGTGGATGCGTCCATCCCTTCACCTTGCTTATTTTTCTTTTTCTTCTTTTTAGTCACTTGTGCTTCTTCACTTCCCTCTTCTACTTTAATCTTCGTTTCATCTTCTGCTTCCTCTTTCACAGTAACTTGCTCTTTAGATTTCTTTTTCTTCTGCTTTGGTGTGATAGGTTGGACTTCTTCAGCTGGCTCATCCTTAACCTTGCCTTCTTCCGCGTTTGATTCCTTCTTGGATTTTTTCTTTTTCTGCTTTGGGGTAACTGACGTTTCTGCTTGCGCTTCTTCGGTAACAGGATCTGACGACTCCGAACGTTTTCTTTTCAGTGTAGAGTCAGCGGCCGTAGGATAAGTTTTGATTTCACTATAAACAGCACATGTAAATTTATGTCAGATTATACAATATCTTACCTAACACCCTGGTACTTTTGGAATTTTGCCTTAGCTTTACCAGTTCCACTAATTCGCTTGATATTCCCCTCCTCCAAAATTCGAAGTCGAGCTTCTAACTTTGCCTTGTGTTCCGCCCCCAAATCGAAACTGGTCCCGTCTTCACCCAGGGCATCGTAACGAGTCGCAAGCGCTGCCTTCGCAGCAAGCATTCGCGACATTTTACCCTTATTCTTCAAACTGGCCTGCCCGATTAATTGCGCATGATAAATCAGACCATACTTAGGGGTGTCCTTTTTCGCTTTCAAGGCCCTAAAAAGTGCCTTCTCTGCTCCCAATATTTGCACGGTAGATGCGGGGTGCTTGGCTAAATTTATCAATGAACCGGCATGCGAAATCAACCGCGCGCCCACTAGATCACCCACTAAAATCGATAAATTTGGTGCCATTGCGAGCATGCGAGCTTTCAAATAATCGTACAGCTGCGTTCGGTAGCTCGTAATTTCGATGACCTGATCGCACAAATTTTGAATATTTATTATGTCCTCCTCTGAAATCTCGGTACCCATCGATATTTCCGCGGCTTCCTTGACCTGCTCTTCCAGTTCTTCATTGAGAACATCCGACAAATCTGAAGTGGCAGCGTTGTCACGAGTGCCTAGGATTTTTACTATTTTTACAAAGGCAGTGTTATCCGTGATTATCTTTCCCAATTCTGGAAAATGCCAGCCGTACCATTCTCTGCATCGCATGATGTAATTATTGAGTTCTTTGTCCAAATCGTCTAATAGAGATACCGCTTGAATTATCATGGTATCTATTTTATCGGGCGAGAACTTTAGTTTGTATCTCGAAAGGGAATGGGCTAACCCTAAGGCCATTGCCGTCATCTCCTTCTTTGGCAGTCCAGCTATTAAGCTGTCCGATTGTGAGCGTATGCATCGCATCAGTTCTTGTACGGCAGTATTTGATACACATTGCAGACTAAATTTATCCTTTATGGCGTTTCCTAATTTTGAGTCGGCAACCAATAGCTGATCTTGCACGTCTTTACTTATCACTTGCTTCAGCACCTTCTTGAGACTCTTCGAAAGTTTCCCCTCAACTGCCGCTGTGGTTGCCGCCAACGCTTCGGTTGTGTCTGTGAATTTCTCAAAGTGCTTCAATTTCACTCTGTAAAATAAACACAGTAAGCAAGAGGCTGATCAATTAATCGAAGCTATCTACATTTTACTGGCTGCTTCTGGTGTTTCGAAGTCATTGTATAAATTATCGGTTTCCTTAAGCTTCTTCGCATCCAAAAGCTGAAAGCATGGTAAAGTGAGGTTATAGTATTCACAATATTTAAAAGTATGTTCTAGCTTACCTTAAATATGGCATAACCCGCAGGTGTCTCAAATAGCACCAACATGGTTTCACGTTTTGCTAATACAGCCCTAATTAAATATTTGTTTTGAGAAATTCACATGCTATCAAAACAACGCTATCAATATCATTTTGTAAGGTTAGGGACGTGTCACGTGTGTAAATTTATTTGGCATACAACTGTATGTTAAAATCTATACCAAGGAGTACAACTTATACTTTCTTCTCTTGTGTATGACGTTCCGCCTTCTTTATTTATACCTATACTGGGTGGTGCACGGTAAGTAGGAACATAGAGATTTAACATGGGAAATTAGTTTTATGCAATATCCTGCCCTCCTGTACATTTTACAGAACGAACTGTAGAGTTTAAAGTTGTTCAGAATTAAAAGGTGCATACAAAACTGTTTTTACATGTTTTATTAAGCTTTTGGTATACCCGCAAATTTACAAATCAATTTAACATTTCTGTTATTAGTAGCAATTCGGCCTACGGGCCAAACTTATCATCAGATCACTACCCAAGCAGTCGAATTTCATTATTATTAGTTTGGTTCGTATTTGATTCATTGGCCAATCTCCAAAAAATTGTGACGTTATTTTCTTTACCGTTTAATCTTTACTTTGGCTTGCATTTGAATTACATTATGCGAACTCTTACCTTTATATACATAGGTATTTAACTCTTATGTTTATATAGCAATCCTTATGCCATCTAGGTGTTCACATTGTAACCCGACCCGTTATTTGTGATATAGCTTTCTTTTAAAACCTTCCCGTCTAGATTTCTGTTGCGCGTTTTCTCCCACTTGCTGTTGGCGCGCGCAGACCTTGTTGAAGAACTCGAATCGATCTTGACTTATACTTAAGCTATACGCCATTACACTTACTTGACATTATTGTCTACCTTTTGGGTTATTATATGTAGTGTTTGTATTAAGATTAGTGGAGTTTTTCTCTTATTATCTTACTTCCAACTTCGCTGACGGATTTCTGCGCATTTATCTTACAAGTTTAAGGCCGTTTACGGTATGTTATCTGTGACGCATTATCTTTTTACTTTACATAATCCTTTTCAGGCTACTTTCGTACTCTCTGAGTTTTCTTACTTCTTATTTTGGAGTTACCAATTGCTTCCTGATTGTGCATTGATATTTCTAAGTGAAAACGCGAATTCCCGATTTTCGAATCGTGCAAAACAATTCCATTGAAATTTCGACGCCATTACCAGTCAAAAACGCCCTGCATATATTTCAACCTTATCGACTGAAGAATTACCGCCATTTCGTGCGAAACCGATTTGAACTGATGACCCAATTTTGCGAAGTTTGTTGACCTACGATTGATTCCTCCGAAACGGAAGTACCTAAATAACAAGACGTGTGGAGTTGGTACTGTGTAAATCGTTCGTATGTATTTGTATACCCAGTTACCGATTACGTTTAGTTTTGTCGTTACCGAAGTTTAGACTAACGATAATATCATCTACGATCGACATCATATTTGTGTTACTCTGATGCTTATATTTGTTAGTTTACTTATTTTATCCTTCATATTAACTACTTTTGTTTGTGATCTATGTTATAGGTATGATGTAATGTGTGTTGCCTACCAGCAACCAGCGTATACTGAACCACGACATGAGCTCGGTAGAGACACACACGGGAACGGCTGGCGACGAATTAATGTAATGGATAGTCAAATAAACTTAAAATATATAAGTTGAGTATTTTTATTAAGATAACAACATAACATGGCGCAGTCAAGGGTCAATTAAATGAAGACATCACGGGTGAAAGGAAAAAACTGAGGATTGCAGAAATATCGGAAGAATATTATCGTGCACGAGCCCACGAGGACCAACAGAATGGAAACGCTAACCCAACCGAAACCGATGAGCATGAGTGGAGATCTGGGAAAGAATTGGAAAATTTTCAAAGAAGATTTTAACATATATTTACTAGCTACAGGAGGAACAGAGAAAAGTCGAAAGGTGCAAGCGGCAATATTAATGCATTGCATGGGGAGAGACGCCAAAGAAGTCTTGAATACCCTGGAGGTTAGTGACACAGAAAAAGAAGATCCCACAGCGATAATGAAGTCCTTGGATGATTATTTCATTCCCAAAACCAACACAAGTGTCGAACGGCATAAATTCAACACTCGAGTACAATTACCATGTGATTGTTTTGTATTACAGTATTAGACATAAGTAGAATTAAGTTTTCTTTACTAGCCTTTTTATGGTTTGAACATGTCGTTCAATAAATCCATTTGATTGGGGGTAAGTTGGGGTACTGGTTTGATGGATTATTTCCCATTCACTCATGAACTTTTGGAAATTTTTGTTTACAAATTGCGGACCATTGTCTGTAAATAACTTCTCAGGTTTACCATGTCGAGCAAATATTGACTTCATATTATGTATTATTATTTCATAGGTGGTATCATTGTTAAGGCACGCCAATTCAGGAAATTTAGAAAAAAAATCTACCAATAAATATTCCTTGTTTTTGTAATGAAACAAATCTGCAGCAACAAATTGCCAAGGTCTCGTCGGTATCTCTTTAGTTATTAAGGATTCTTTTTGTTGACTATTTTGGTATTTGAGGCATACCTGACAGTTACTAACTATATCGGTCACCTCCTTGGTAATAAATGGCCAAAATATTGATTCTTTTGCTCTTAATATAGTTTTACTAATACCCATATGTTGATAATGGAGACGACTAATCATTTCTGATCTTAAGGATTTTGGAATTACTATTTCTTGATTTTTAAAAATTAGATTTCTAGCTAAAACTAACTCATGTCTGTATTTCCAATAAGGTTTTATGCTATCTTTAAGTTCTCTCTTTGACTCGGGCCAACCCTCTCTAATTACCTTACTTAATTCCATTAATTCTGCATCTTTACTTGTTTCGTCCGCTACCCTATTAAATTGCTTTTTTGATATACTGATATATTCAATGGCATTAAGTTGTGCTTCGATTTCTGACTCCTTTATTTCGAAATTGATATCATTGTAACTAGTTCTCGATAGCGCATCAGCAAGGTAAAGTTGCGAACCTGGCTTATATTTGACTTCGAATTGGTACATTTGCAGATTTAACAATAATCTCTGTAACCGTAAGGGACATTTGCTTAGTGCTTTCTTGCATATAGTTTCAAGTGGTTTATGATCACTTTCCACTGTGAATGTTTTGCCATATAAATATTGATGGAAGCGCTGGCATCCAAAAACTATTGCTAACATCTCTTTCTCTATCTGAGCATATTGGACTTGGGCGTCCGTTAATGATTTGGATGCATATGCAATGGGACCTTCTTTTTGTAAAATGACTGCACCCAGACCATATTTGGAACTATCTACCGAAAGAGTAATAGGTTCGTTTGGGTCATAATATTGAAGTACAGGATTACTACTTAGTGTTGTCTTTAGTTTGTTAAATTCTCCCTCGTGTATCTCTGACCACAGCCACTCTCTCCCCTTTTTTGTAAGTTGTCTAAGATTATACGTTAATTTTGATAAATTAGGAATGAATTTAGATAAATATGTTACCATTCCTAAAAATCGAGACAATTCTTTTGAATTTTGTGGACTAGGTATCTGCCGAATAGCTTCAATTTTGTCGCTATCTGGTTTAATGCCTGATTCTGTCAACACATGCCCTACATATTTAATTTCGTTTATCCCAAATCTGCATTTTTCTCTATTTAATTTAATACCTGATTCCTTAACTCTATTTAATACCTTACTCAAAATTGTGTCATGATCTTCTTTGGTTTTTGCATAGATTATTAAATCATCAATATATGTTTTTACCCCTGCTATGTCTCTAAAAATTTCTTTGAAAACCCTATGAAACATTTCTGGTGCAAAGGACAAACCAAATGGTAATCTCAAGAATTGAAACCTGCCAAATGGAGTTGCAAAAGTAGTTAACTTTGCAGACTCTTTACTTAGAGTTATTTGCCAAAATCCCTTATTCGCGTCCAGCACCGAAAAATATTTCATGCCTTTTAAATCATGTGTTAATTCCTCAAATGTAGGCAATTGGTAATGCTCCCTAACTATAGCTTTGTTTAGGTTTTGTGGGTCTAAACATATCCTAATCTTGCCGTTTGGCTTATTTACAATAACTATGGGATTCACAAATTCTGTGGGTTCATTAATGGGGCTTACAATTCCATCTTTAACCATTCTTTTTAATTCCAGTTTCAGTTTTTCTATTTGTTGATAGGGAATTTTACGACAGGGCACCACTACCGGTTCATAATTTTCTCGTAATTTAAAATGAACTGGATTCATTTTTATCTTACCAACACCTTCAAACAGATCAGCATGCTGTGTAATTATTTTACTTTTATCCAGTGCATTCGTTATTCCACCAACATTCAACCTGACCAAGTCTAAAGATTGTATACTGTCAATACCCAAAATTGGTACTGAATTTTGATCAGTGGTTATAATTATAAAATTTAAATTTTGCGTCTTTTCATTCACTCTACAAAGTAATTCACAGGAACCATTTACTTTCAATCTATTCCCTGCATAATTCCTAACTACTATTTTACTTGGTTGCATTTTACACTTTAAATGTAAGTTTTCGTAAATATGTTTTGGGATCACATTTATGTGTGCTCCAGTATCTAGTTTACAATTTATGGATTTATTCTCATCAACAATTTTCACCTTTTGATACCAATCTGAATTGATGTTTGCCACATCAAGTGATCCCAACACGTATTCCTGCGCTTCATCACTACTTGACTCAGCACTCTTATTTGTATCAATACTATGCACACGATTTGTCAATTTACATTTACGAGCGAAGTGATTATACCTTTTACATTGACTGCATACACGTCCATAAGCGGGACATTTTCTTCCATGTGTGAATCCACATCTATCGCAATCCTCCTTCCTGATTGACTCGTTATTCCAGGTTTGTTTGCTTTGATGCCCGTTGCTTACTTTGCGGTCATCCCTTTGTTGCTTTCCCTTGTAAGCGTGACGAAATCCGCTTGTTGAAGGTTGAGCTAAAACATTTTTGGCTTTACCTTTGTCATGATGGTTTACCTTGATTTCTTCAATAGCCATTGTGTCGGTTTTTTCCACCAGTTGCTTGATATGTGCATCGGTTTGCTCCGCTGCCTTGCATATCTCCATCGCCTTCGTCAGGTCCAGGTTTGGTTCACGTAACAATCTATCTTGGATCCTTTTACTTTTTATTCCACACACGATCCTGTCTTTAATCAGCCCATCCTTTAATGTGTTAAATTCGCAATTTCCTGCAATTTTTCTCAAGTCGCTGAGAAAGGCGTCGAAGGTTTCACCTGGTAATTGTACTCGAGTGTTGAATTTATGCCGTTCGACACTTGTGTTGTGATGAAATAATCATCCAAGGACTTCATTATCGCTGTGGGATCTTCAATTACCATGTGATTGTTTTGTATTACAGTATTAGACATAAGTAGAATTAAGTTTTCATTTGTAAAGGTATTTTTAAGAAAGGGAGATGTTATAGGTATGATGTAATGTGTGTTGCCTACCAGCAACCAGCGTATACTGAACCACGACATGAGCTCGGTAGAGACACACACGGGAACGGCTGGCGACGAATTAATGTAATGGATAGTCAAATAAACTTAAAATATATAAGTTGAGTATTTTTATTAAGATAACAACATAACAATCTAGTTCTTAAAATTGCCGAGACTTTGTCCGAAGTAAATTTCTACAATTTTAATTAACGTTATGTATTTTGCTCTGAAGAACTTGCTCGTGTAAGTTTGTTTTCATTTGAATCGATAAGATTGCTTTGTCATTGAAGAGAGATTCAGTTATTTGTACATTTTATAGTATTTTTTTCTTTAAGACTTCATGTCACTTTTTGATATCTCATACCGATTGTAAAAACCAACCCTTAGTCGAACCAAATTTTGTTTTGTCGTAAAGTCATTTGAATTTTTGATTCTTTTTAGTATTGATTGCAATTCTACGTATAAGAATAACCCTTCGTGTCTTACGTTAACCATTGCTTATGCGATATATTGTGCAACACGAATCATTACCCTTCTTATATTTTTTTGTTTGTGTGTCTGTCTGTTTACAGATTTGCAGTTTCGCGTCCTCTGAGCTCAGAAGGTTGCGACCGTAGTTCAAAGGTAAATTTAGTCGTTTTTCCCTGTTAACGGTTGATTACATTTTGGTTTTTGATACCAACGAGTTGTGATTATTACTTTGTTTGAAAGTCACTTAATGATTATAGCTCCGTTGTTTCTGCGGAAGCCCTTTTGGATAAATACTTTCTCCGGCTACGTGTTGGCTTCGCATTTGTTTTTATTATAGAGATTATTTTAAATTCCCATGTTGACATACCAGATCTATATATTACAGTGTCAGATTTGTGATATTTTGAGATCATATTAAAGTATTAAACCACCCGCATTTATGACATCAAATATTGTTTGTTTCTTTCCCCATAATTGTGCATCCCTTCCAGTTTAGTAACACGAGAACAAGGATCTCTTAGTCTGCCTTGTTTATCCCTTTAGTAAGTATTCCTCCCTCTCTCTAGATTTATCAAACACTAAGTGGCGCCTATCCGGATTACTTTTACCATTTCCTTCCCTTTTTGGCTTATTTGTGTTTGCATAGAAGAACCGCATATTCACCCCGACCCACCTCTTCTTTACCTGAGCTTACCGTGTGCTTATCTAAGGTAATTTTTGTCACCTACCATACCACACAGTTTTAACCTCTAGATGGTGTTCCAAAGCAGCGAGGTGGACGAATTTTGAGCCAAGAAATGAAAAAACCACACGTATAAGGTACAATGAACTTTATTTCAAAATACGAATTTGCATATTCGTTTGCTAAACGCCTATAGATCATATCAGCAGACACGGACTACTAGTGCCAATTCTAAGGAATAAGGGTTTGCTTTGTGGGTGTCACCACAGCAACGGCCAATGTCCCTCGTTTCCAAAGAATATTCAATACAGCTACCCACTTCTTGAACGGTAACTTTAAAGATGGTAATTTTCGCTTAGATATAAACTGGGTTATTAAGGCATGCATAATTGAGCTCTAACCATCTTCCTCGCACCCCTCGCTTCGCTCGTGGAGGACAGAGTGGTTGAAGTATTTCAGGTCAAGCCATGTATAATTTACTATCAAAATTAAAATTTTAAAAGTAAAAACAGTTAAAGGGGTTGGAAGTTACAGAGCAACGACGTGGAACGAAATAATCAATATTTGTAAGGACGACAAAACTGTGAAGGCTTTATACGTGTAAAGTGCGCTAAGGGTGACGGTCGACAATCGGTTCTGACGATGCATCAACGATTTACGTCGTTCGAAATGTTTACCACAAAAATATAAATTGTGCACAGTTGATGAGGTGAATTAAGTGTTTCGGTGGCATAATGAATCGTTATATTACCTTACATCAATTGGGTGATGGTACGTATGGATCCGTGGTGCTCGGCCAAAGGAAGGACACCGGCGAGAAAGTGGCGATTAAAAGAATGAAGAGAAAGTACTACTCATGGGAAGAAGCGATGAATTTAAGGGAGATTAAGGTAAATTTTTTTTAAGTAGCTGTCACGTAAACAAAGCATACTGCGACTTCTATGCTATTGCTATGGTAGTGTTTACCGTTTTATTCGTAGCTATCTACATTTTTTCTACATCATTTTTCTAGCAGTGCTCACTGAATACTTTGAGCCTTCAAAAACGTTTGTTGTACTTTCAAGATCCACTTAATTGAGTGATCGGGAACGGTTTTAACTATAATGTTTCCGGTTTTGTAACCTTTTTTTCCCCAAAATTCGGACTCCAAACGAAAAAATACTAAACCTGGATTAAATTTGGTAGTTTAGCAACTCGTTTAGCAAATATCGAGTTCAACCATAAGGAGCGTACCTACTGAATTGGGGTTGTATTTCCCAAACGAAACATTTTGCACCCTTCTTATTTTGAAAAAGTATTCCCCCTCCTCCAAAGGGCCTCGCATCATTTCGATATTGCAAGCAAAAGTAGGACAATTCATGATGAGGTGGCTTGGATTCAGACCCCTAGCCCCACCGATAATATTTCACTTATTTTTTTTGTAATTATGAGTTAGCAGTTTTTACTTCACAATTTTTGGACACTATTAAACAGAAAATATACAGGGTGGCTTATTTGCTTATTGCGCAGATACAATGACCGATAGATTTAAAGGGTAGGTACCTATATATAAAAAAAAGATAAACGCAGTTCCAATCAGTGGGTGGAGGTACGTGTAATTTTTATATATATACCCTCGCATATACCATAGGCAACAAGTTAAAAAGTCCTTATGCAAACATAAATGACGAGAGCGTATTTTCCTCCTAATAGTTAATGCCTCAGTTAATGCTGTCCCATTCTCTTCATGAAACGCTTTTAAATGCTTTCGTAAATAGCATTGCGCATTGTCTACATTAGAAATTTTATTGAATGCCTTCATAAATAAAACATACCAGCATGCATTAACAGTAATTTTGAAACCGGTATTAGTTTTAGTTTCATTCAAGGTGCCTACATATGATTCCGTTTACCTGCTTTCATAAATAAGAAAGTTGCCATTGCGCATGCGCAAAACAACATTTTGAAAACGTCGTTAATTTTACTTATATTCGTAGTGTTTACAAATAAAGTTTCATTTAAATATCTTCATAAATAAAAAAGTTAGCATTGCACATGCGTTAAACCAAATTTTTGACACTGCGCATGCTCAAAACCAAAAAATATGGGCTGCACGGAATCCTTGGACCAAGCCCTTTCAAATGGGCCCTATATCGTCAAAATCGGTTCAGTGGTTTAGAAGGAGTACGTGTGACGGACAGACAGACGGTTATCCGATGATACCGTTTCAGATAAAATATTTTCAGTTTTATGCGTCTTTGAAAGTGCATTATTTTTCGGATTTGAGTCAATAATTTACGCATATGACTTGCTCCATATGTACAGGGCGTCCCATTATTAATAGAGGCCACGGGCCATATGTATGGAACCGTTTCTTGCACAGCTTCGGGAAAAAAAATCGTTAACAAAATGGAACGATTTAATCTCGGATTTAATATTATTAATCTAATTAATTTAATATTATTATTATATTATTAATATATTTAATATATTATCAAATAAGATGAAAAAGTGAGAAAATCAGTGAAAACTGCATTTTGATATGTTTCCTAAACAGAGATATGGCGATAATACGAACATTCACAAATTATAATTGCAATTGTATATTCATCCAAGTTGGATTTGAAACAAATGAACACATAGCAGCCGATAATTATGTCTAAGTGAATGATGGCAGTCCAAAATTCACAATCAATTTTTAAGTTTTTAAATTATGAGCAACAACAAAAATATTTAAACTTTAAATCTGAGGAATATGAATTAAATAATAAAATAAATAATAATTAATTATATTAATACTAATGAAAGGATGCGACAGACTGTAATAAACTTTGACAGTTTTTTACGTGGTACCTATTGCGTTTCTTTTGTTTCAAAGCCAACTAGGATGAGCATAAATCTTTCAATTAAAATTTGTGAATATTCGTATTTTCGCAATATCTCTGCTTAGGAAACAGATATCAAAATGCGGTTTTTACTGATATTCGCACCTTTTTACTTATTTTGATAATATCATATATCAATTATTACGTTCAATTTGAAATTTTTAAAAAAACTAAAACGACTCTATCCATGTAAAATCTGATTCCACTAAGAAAGCTCTTTCCAACAAGAATAATTATATGAAAATCAGTTACCCTAAACCGAAGTTATTGTACATTCAATTCCTTAAATAGATGTTCCCCTTCTCCCGTCGCTCATATTTTATAAGCTAGAGCAATATGTGCTGCATCAAAATGATGCAAAATTAATACAAGATTGCGATGCATGTATTTTTATGCATGCTTGTTGGGTATATTTGAGGAAAAAGGTCATTTTTCTATTTTGAAGTTTTTGAAATATTAAATAGAACCACGACTGTGTTTTTTATTTTTCTACTTAACCATGAATCATACGCCCTCTAGCGACCTACCTAGAAAGCAATTCCAGCGATTTTTCTTGGTCGCTTTTGTTAACAAATTTTTTTTTCGCGAAGCTGTACAATTAACGATTCCATTCCATAGATATGGCCTGTTATCATTATTAATGGGACATCCTGTACAAAATATATACAGATTGCTCACAGATTCATGTCAAAATGCGAAAACCTCATCGTTTTCATAGAGACCCTCTTTTACTGGGCCACCAAAAGGAGCAACAAATAATGGCACTTATATATCGAAAATTAAAGGCTTGTACCTAAAGAGAGTGGATCAAAACTTGAAGTTATTTAGGCATTTTTAATTATCAGGATTCAGGTGGCTTTGATTTAAGAGAAACAAAAGAACTAAAAACAAATGTTACTGTGTCATAAAACAAAATACCAATAAATGTCACATTGAAGTATCGTAAAAAAAGTTAACAACGCTCAGGCACGGAATGTCATGTGGAAAAGGTTCCTTATGTTTTTGTATCACTCTATAGATCAAGTTGATGTCGTTATTAAGACTCAACATGGGACTTGTTTTACATTTTTTTGCCCAATCTACGTGATGGTGTTCCAATATTTCCGTTGTCAGTTAAAAACTCAGGACTACAAGTGCCTGTTCGAACTATTAAATTTTGATTTTAAAACAATGTTAAATTCTGGCAAAAATTATTTATGCCTTTGAGTAGCTCAATAACAAGAAATCTTTAATCAACTATCTAAACCTGAAAATGTAAAATCGTCACAATTTATAATATACAGGGTGAGTTTTTTTTCATTTTAAGCATTGGGATCTCGGAAACCATAAGACATACGGATTTGGTTAAATGAGGAAAGAGTTGTCGTTTTAAGATATACTTTTGTTTTTTGAAAACTCAATGGGAATCGATGGCTCATCATACTAAAAGCATTCATTGGCATTATGAGAAAGTAAAAGAGTTTGCTGTGGCTAGCACAGATACCACTCGCACCAAAAGCTTTTCAGCACTTTCTTTTAGGTCTAAGAATATGTAAGTAGGTACACCAAATTTGGTTTCAATTGGTTCAGCCGGTTAGCCGGAAATGAGAGTACAGATAGACATACCGACAGACAGACCAACAGACCGACATCATCTATATTTTGTTTGATTCGCATTTATGGTCATTTTTTACCCCAATGCAATTTCGAGATTACCAGACTACACAAAAAGTAAACCGGGAAAGGACGTTATAAAATCAGACGGATATCTAATAATCGAAAGCCGTCGTACGCTAACGTGTAACGGCTCCGTACTTGATACGTGTGCGAACATTATTCTTGGACACCTCTAAAAAGCATTATGCGGGTCCAGAACAAGAGAGGGGCAATAAATAAATAAATTTTAGGTCTTAGTGGCGTAATGCAGAAGTATTTGCTAATTTTTATTGTCATTACACTACATAACTTCTGGACTTTCCTATTACCAAACAGTACTATCTTTGCGACTACTTTGAGTGTCCCCAAAAGTTCAGAAGCTGAAAATAACTTTCGTTCTTTTATCGTTTCTCATGTTTAGGAATTTTTAGGACTTAAATCTTAATTCTGTTGGAGGTGTGTATGTAATTGTATGTCGAATATCTTGCCCTAAGGAAATTGGATGGTCATTTTGTTAGTGTGCGCTAAGAATCGTTGATGAGCAAATGTACAACTAACTACTAATCTCGTGTGCCCTTTACTGGCATTTTTAATGAGGTAGCCGCAGAAGTACCTGAGTTTCCAATTTCGAAGTAGAATGAATAAACCGATCATGAGAACATCTACGTTCTAATTTACGTAAATTGCGTGCGTGGGAAAAGCAAACGTGCGGAACGTTGAAAACAAATTGAAAATCCATATTCTCTTCAAATCAATTCTTATTACGTAGGTAGTATCTACACTTACGTTTAAGTGAAGTTAATAGGCAGATCAATTTTAGAAAATGTGCCAAATTCTTGACAAAACAACTTCCTCACTCAAACCAAAAACAGCGTTTTTGATTTCACAAAATGGTAAGCGTAGGGAAAAAACGCTTCCTACGAAAGTTTATTATTTTCCGATGTAGAATGTCATGTGGACGTTATTAAAAATAATGACGGGGAATGCTGTATATGGCATCAATTTATTAAGCGTAAATTTGGGGGACTATTTACGAATAAACACAGAGTTCTTTTGTGTCATTTGAATTTGACTCAGTGTTATTTTTCCTTTAAGAATTGTGTGTATTTGTGTATAAATTTCTTGTTTGAATATTATTCCTTTTATAATTCATTCAATTTGGTTAGGCACATCTGGTCGTTTGCGATAAGAGGTTTTGTTATCAGACGAAATTTAATTAGCGCACTTGTTCTTACAGCTGTTAGAAGAGATAACGGAGATGCGCTTTATTTTCGGCGTAAGTGGGGAGTCTAATTGTGATTGGCAGTGTTTTTGAAAGATTTTGAAAAAGTGATGTAAAATCGAGCTTGATGCATCGCTACGGTTGGAAAACGTGTACGTTTCTTTACGCTATATTTTTATTCGGGCTGATGTCCGCCCCATTTGATTAGTTGAAGACGCAGTTTGTCTTTATAATAATTTTGTGCAGGAGCAAATTAACAAAGGTTGTAGGAGAACTTTAAATCGGTTAGTTCGTTTTATTGAAAAAGTCTGTCTAATTGAAAATATAGTGAGCCCTTTTGACAAGGCTCTCTTGTTAAAAGTTTGTACCGTCTGAACAGACATCGGCAATTCGTCATTGTATTCAACGAGTTAATGTTGTTTGTCATCAAGATTTGTGTGTTAAAGTAAAGTTTAGAAGCTGTCAGTGTTTGCATGTGGAGTACAGTGGGCCTTATGTTTATCACAAACCTTTGTATGGCCAGATTATGAAAAGAGAAAAAAAACTGTAAGATTTTCTTATTTTGCAGAAATGCTTTAGTGTTTCATTTCATGTGTTTCGGAATAACGTTTTGTCATTGTTAATAAATTAATTGTGTGTTTATTCGAATCCATTGTGCGACCCGGATAAAGTTTCTATATCAGGTTTTTCTTCTGGTGTCTAAGAATTGTCAGGTTTGTTTGAGCTTTTGGTTATCCAAAGATTGAACAAAATCCACCGAGTCGTTACCTCCGATAATTACCAACGTGCATCCATACGGACATACAGACGTAAAAAGTTGCTCAAAATGAACGAAAACGTAGACATTTGATGAAATTTTGACATGTCCAAAAAACGGTAATCGCAATAACCACTTAGCCCAAACTAGGAAGCTAAAAATACACAGCCTTGGGGAAGTCCCTGCATTTAAGATTCCCAAATCGTGCATCTTTTCTCACAACCAATAGACCGAACAATGCATAAGATCGCAAATCCTAAATACAATTAAAGGACAACCCTAAGCTGACTTTTGAACTGCAAAATTAATATTCTACAATTTTGTTTCAGTCATTGAAGAAGTTACACCATACGAATGTAGTGAAGTTGAAGGAAGTAATACGAGAAAATGACGTACTGTATTTCGTCTTTGAGTACATGCAGGAGAACCTATACCAGCTCATTAAAGACCGAAGAGTGCCTTTTCCAGAAACAACAGTTAGGAATATTTTGTACCAGGTAAGTTCTCATTTTTTACTTTCTACCTGTCATATACCCATGTCTTTCTTGTACGCACTAAAGCAAAACAGTCGGTTTAGTCTTCCATTTACGCAAACGATGAAATGCAAAAGATAATTTGACAATTAATGCGCTGCTTTCACACTTACATGTTGATTTTTGTACCATACTTTGTAATGATTATAATTGAATATATTATTTTTGGATTTAGGAGGTAATAATTGCCACGGTTTATTGAGTGTGCATTTATGCACATTCGTTTTGTTCAAGAATCTTAAAGTGAAACTGACGCTTTACACTGTTTGTTTTCCTGGCCGATAAAAGTCTCGCCGTCTTGGTTGAGAATTCCCCTAGGTCGAAGTTCGTATTCGTGGTATATGAAGTACAGGAATGGACAATGGTGCCCATATGTGGATAGATTTGTCTTACGATTCGCCCAGATAGAAGAGATTCCCATTGCTGGATTTAAACGGGAGTCAACTTCCTTAATGTCAAGGTGCATTTTTGTCGAACACTGGATTAATTTTTTTGGAGATAAGAGTTCATGAACTGCGGCGCGCTGTAAGCACGGAACGTCCACGCACAATAATTTTTATTTCGTGCGAATAAGATCTATTTTTAGTTGTAAGATTGTAAAACGAAGTTAATTTGCCGTCTCTCAAGTTTCCTAGAGAGAATCACACATATGCCGCTAGCACAAAGCAATACAACGACTCGATTACGATGTCACGCATTTTCCAGTGCAAATGAAACAATACACTTCCGGCAATTAACTTAGCTTATTTTGATGCTTCGTTGTACGGTAGAGTTTTATTTAAAGACCTCCGCGTAGTTCACAGAAAATTCATACCGGGTCCCTAGAAACTCGAATTATCTTGAGGTTGGGACTGCACGCTAGAAATTAACCTTATTATAACTACGTTCTTCCGTAATAAAAAAATCCTAGTGAACACTCTGTACTCTAAAGCGAGTAATGCTCGACTGCTTTAAACTTTTCAATTAACTTCACGTGTTAATTTTCGTAACCGCAAACTCAGCGGACGATCCACCCGCTATGGCGACTGATCCCTTTTTTTTTAATTTTTTTTTAAAAGCTATTCGGGATCAAAGCCCATAAGCCACGTGGGGGAATACAAGAGTGTACTAAGGAATCACAGGGCCACACGCTTCACGATTCGGGGCCTATCGAATCGACTTTGAAATCACACAAACGATTAATCAGCCATCGGAAAATGGGTTGTATCGCACAAAGGAACTGATCCCTTTCTTTCTCTGTTCTTTAACTTCGCATTCGAACTTTAATTTTATCTAAAATCTAATCGGTAGCCCCTTAGAAAAACCGAAACGGAACTGATGCAATTCTCGCGAACAGCTTGGAATAACGCAAGGACCACGCATTCTGAACGCGCATGTTTATCGTTAATACACCTGCCCACGCTCACTCCCCGTATAAAGCGTTAAGTATATTCATGCGATTTATTTATGTATTTATGTATTGAATCTTCCTCGTACGATTACGTTTTGTTGTATAGAAATAATCGGACAATAAACTTTTTTATTTATTTCGACTGCATTCAAACTGGCTATCTACTTCCGCTATGCGGATTATTATTAGAGCACTTAACTAGTTAATTTTTCGCTTTCGGATTATAGTTTTGCATTAATCGAAACGCCACTTTACCTACCTATATCAGGAAAACACAATAAGCGGAGAAGTTTCTCGTCCTCTTTTTTGTCCGTTAATTATCAGGAGAGCAGCGATCTTTCATTCAAATCGGAAACACGCGAGTCCTTGAAATATCAAACGGTTTGCGGGCCTTGATACTTATCAAGTCATTTTCAAAACTTCCTACCAGAATTTTATTTTCTGTTAATGCGATAATTATACCTTTGTATGTATGATACTGCTTCATTATATACGATGTCACGCAAACGTAAAATTTCTCCTCGCACTTATTTTTGGTCGAGTGTAAATATCAATTCCTAGCTTTTTCCAATTATGATTGATGAACGTATCCATTTAAAAGTAACCCCTCTATTCTTCAAGGACAGGGCACGTCCTTAACGCATTGATTTACACTCGTCCATTCGTAATAAATGTGACATCTACTGCCGCTTTCAGTTAAAAAGAGGTTTGAATAATTGATTTATCCATTAGAAACAGTATGAGTCGATTTATTTCGCACCCATTGAACTATTCAAGGCTACATTTATTCAATAATTTCCATAAGGCATAATGTCCTAAATGTCCAAACCACGTGATCGTATCATGAAGCAATGTACCTACTTAAAATTAATATCAAATAAATGGTATTTTACACGACTTTTCGTTTTTTTCTGGTTACACGACATTGCGTAAAAAACGGTATTTTACATCATTGCATATATACAGGGTGGGGCAACATAACTTCCTCATTTGAAATGAGCGCCGTTCCGCCTAACGGTTATATTTGGGGGGGGGGGCTGGGCGTGGTTTTATTTGGAAGGGTGTACTGATCTTAACCCACCCCAGGCTCGAAGTGAATGACAGATTTCACGGCAAAGTGGCAACGTTGCAATCCCAGTATCAAAACACGGTTCTCGCTCAAAATTCAAACAAAAGAATGGCACGTGATTGGATCGTCTAAGCTAGGGCCCCCTTCCGTTACACGAAGCTAATTCAATGACTCGGGGCCCAGTCGGGCAGGAACACTCAAATAAAACGCTGTAATGTCTGCGAGTTTATTTATTATAAACTTATTCTGATAACCCGGGAATTTGGATGTGGTACATTAAAGCAAAGCAAGCAAAACCTAAAGGTGCCGCATTCTCGCAAAAGCAGACTACCAAGGAGAAAAAGAGCGCGACTTGACAAAAACCTTGGCCTTGAATAAAACCCAAACTATGCTATAATCACATAAAATTAAAACACCAACCACCTAAGCAGAACATGTGACACTACCTTAATTAATGAATGAATTCAAGTAGCAGGGTACGTTTGCACAGTATGCGTAGAGTATTCGTCACAACATGTCATGTACTTTCCTTTAATCGCGGCTAGAAGGCAACTCACTTTTTAGTTAGTCATTGGGTGGTGAACCTGGTTATTCGTTAGGTTTGGGCCAGCGTCTTCGCTTGATTGCCCTCCTGTTTCACGGTTATATTGGTAGGGATCGGGCTGGCATATTTACCTATTAACCCGTAGCGCAGTTAAGATTGTTAGGGGCAACACATTCATGCATTTATTGATATAAGTCACCTTACTAGTTATTCATATCATTATTTATCGAATGGAGTGGTGTGAAGTTTGTAAAAACATGTCTGATCTATTATTCATATTGTGACGTAACAATAGGCAGTTATGACAATACCCAGTGTGCTCGTGGGGCCCCCAATTATGCTCAGTTTCCACATAATGACATTGGTATAAACCCCAGACTTCCGGAACTAATAACTGTGTGCTTCGTAACACTCCCCTGACATCGGTCACGTAACGACACAAAACTGAAGGTGGTTAAGAGATGGGTCGCCGCTCATGGGTAGGATGGCCTTGGTTACAGCACTTCGTCCCTAAAATTGGAGGTTCGAAGGCCCTCGGATCCTTTTGAGCCTTAGCTCTAGATTATCTTTCTATTCTAGCGTCCGAGCTCCCTCTCACGGTAGGAAGATATGAGTTACATACCACAAGGCACACGCATTCGCGAATGTTACGAGTCACCCTAAACTAAATACACCTAGCATTGCATGCCCTACTTCACGGAAGTCGAGGTTCTACATAGGTACACCCCCGTGCACCGTGTAACTGAGTTAAACGTGGTCTAAACCTGAGATATCGTAGACTTCCACAAGCACATGGATATTAGTTAACAGCTCGCATGTTGTAAATTACATATTAGCACAATGGTAGATAAAAAATATCTGATTTAACAAATGGCACAATTCATATAAGTACATAAGAGTAAACTACATAAAATACTTTACCCGACACCAAAGTGGTTGTATCTTACGCACAAACACCAAAAACAAAGCTAAACTCTATGAATACAACTCAAAATACAATAAGCCCACCACCAACAAACTTTAACAATCAACAAGTGACGCCAAGTCCTGGGGCCAAGTCCCCAAATCCCAAACAACCTCCGGAAATTACGAAAAAAAATATCAACAGGTGGTGATGGCGGTGGCTCATGTCCCCAGAATCTCCAACTACTTGACCGGTTGCATCCGACGTCGTAATATACAGGGTATTTAAAGGGATATAGACATCTCAGACTTTTGAAATATCTTGCAAATTGAGTATTTTGCCCCCTTCCCCATGAATTATCTTTTTTTTAAATACATAGTTAAAACGTTTACAATAGTTTGACCTTATTAATAAACATTATTACACATATTAGATCAAACTAGTAATAATTACTGTCAGTAGTGTCGGTTGTTTTATGAAAACAATATTTGTTTGTTTGATCGGACGTGGCAAGAAAAATATAATTAAGGCTACAAAAGAGCATCTACGGCTTTGGCCATCGGATTGGTCGTTGGCAACAGATCTGAATGATCTTATTCGATTTCTGGAAACTATCCTTAGCTAAGATTATCGTTGAGAACGTGCAGTGTACTTAAATTAGTATCAAATGAAATTCATTGTATCAGAAGTGGGATAGTGGTTAATTGTATTAAAAATCTTAAATTTTAGTTTAATTAAATAGAAACTAGTTTTAATAATATATTCTTATGAAATTTCGGAAGAAAATCTAGTGCGAAGAACTTTCGGCGTACTCGATTATGTGCTTGATTGCCATTGAACTCCTGTTACAGATATTGCAAGGATTGGCGTTTATTCACAGACACGGCTTTTTCCATAGAGACCTAAAACCGGAAAACCTACTGTGTTCCGGTCCCGAACTAGTCAAAATTGCCGATTTCGGTTTGGTGCGAGAAATAAGGTCTCGTCCGCCGTACACCGACTACGTCTCGACGAGATGGTACCGAGCGCCAGAGGTCCTTCTACATTCAACGATATACGGAACACCGATCGACCTTTGGGCGGTAGGGTGTATCGCCAGCGAGATCTACACGTTTAGACCTTTATTTCCCGGTACAACCGAAACGGACCAACTTTACAAGATTTGCGTAATATTAGGAACGCCCGAAAAGGTATAGTCACTTTTCAGTATCGCTGACGATAGTCATCAAATTTTAGAAACACTGGCCGGAGGGATACCAGCTCGCCGGAGCGGTCGGTTTCAAGTTTCCACATTTCCAAAGCACGCCCATCGTATCCGTCGTTCCACAAGCAAGCGAAGTCGGCGTCAATCTAATCGAAATATTACTCGATTGGAACCCTGCGAGACGCCCTTCCGCTCAAGCCGCTCTCAAACATTCCTATTTTCAAGTACAAAATCTTTTCGCATTAACAAACATCTCACTGCATCAATTTCAGGTGGGGCAACGTTACGGTGGCGGTATGCAGGGATTATCGGCGCGAAAATCGCTCCCGTTTTCAGAACCGCTGCCAAACGACGATCCGGTCACGGAAAACCTATCCGACAGACCGAAGGATGTTCCGTTGAAGTCGCCGCAATTAAACAAACAAACTAGCCAAATGCAGCCGAACGTGCCACCAATAATCAAGCCTTTGCAGCCGTCGACTAGGAATCAACCGGTGCAGGCGGTAGCTCCGATTGTATATAGCTTTAGGCAACCTGATCTTATTTCTAATACCAAATCGATCCAGACGAAGAACTGGGAAGATACGGACGATGACTTTGGAGATATCTTGGGGTAGGTGTTCTGGAATCGGGATGCATTAACCACAGTCTGTTTTAGTAGTAAGATCAAAACGCCCGATAAATCTAAGGAGAATATCATATCGCGCAATAACAAGATTAATCTACAAGACGTCTTGCAAGCAACTAATAAAGGTAGCGATATTACCGCTAAATCTCAATATTTAAGTGTGTCTCGATACATAGTGGGACGATCTTCGGGTATACGCAGGGACTCCAATTTTAGCGTTTTAGGCAACACGCATCGCAGCGATTACGATTATTCCAAGCATTCGGGTAGTGTTTCAATTTTGAGTGCCCAAATGATCAATTATGTCATTTTAGGTAAATCGTCATTTTCGCCCGTTTGGAATAATGCGAATCTTTTAGAAGTTCCGTCCACTAAGAAACTCGGAAGTTTTTTTAGCGGCAACTCAAAGGGCAGAACTGATTGGGCCGCCAAGTAAGTCGCCAGTATAGGTGTTTACGAGTCGCTAATTATTCAATTTCAGATACCTCAAGTAGTAATAATATGTCAAAGAATTGTCTTTAAATGAACTGTGATACACATTATATTTTTCTTAATGTTACATGTTTATCACATTGTAATCTTAATAAATTGTTTCTTTCATAAAACAAGACAAAGAACGAACCCCTGTTGGCCTACGCTACTGAGAATCAACTTGTAATTCTCAGCAACGGAGCACTACTACTATTGGGGCTTTTGTAATTTAAAAAGTTCGGTTGTTGAATGGTACAGATGCATTGACCTTATTTTATTTGTTTTGCCTTTCCATTAAAATGGGCGGCTCTTCCAACCCAACTCACTATAAGTAGTCAAGTCTATAGTGTAGGTAATTCACATTCAGATGACAGTACATGAGTATAGATATGTCTGCAATGCTGGCCTTTGAATGTGAATTCCACTATTATGTATACATTTACAAACATCCATGCCCGAACCAGGGACCCTCACTACCACTGAGAGAGTAAGTAGATCAAGCTGACGGTTCATTGGGCAAATTGCATCTATCAGGTTCGTAACCGGAATGAAGTAGCAGGAGTGGCTTAAGAAAAAGAAGACCATTAGATTCTTATGACGGAAATATATTAATCTACAAAGTTTTAACTAACCTTTTTTTTAACAATTCATCTACTGCGATGGCTGAAATTTTTGTGGTAGTTCAAACTTCAAACATTTTTATTTCCTTGTTTGGTATTAACAAAAATAAAAACGGTTAAATTCCATTTCTCTTTACAATATAGAAAATATTGCTTTAGTTCATGGAAAAAAATACCTACAACAAAAATGCACTCCCGTCTTGTGATCACGGAATCCTAGAGATAAAGAATATATATAGTGTTGTGATGATCTTAGCCTCCTACTATCTTGGCGGGCTCACGCTGGAATATTTGACCATATTCTGTCGCAGCGGGAATGTCAAACTAACATGGCTGCCTATTTGAATATTCTCGCTTACGTTTCCCGCGAGAATCGGTCACTCGGGGGGCCACTCCGAGTGCACTAAGATCGTGATCGTCATGTAGGACACCTACGTTGTGTAATAACTGGGTTCTCAGCAGGCACTGAGGGCGTTTTATGGGTAAGGAACACCAAAAGCAATAGTTGATTAAGTTTATATTGAAGCTAATACCAAAACGGTGCCCCTGCAGAGGGTCTTAAGTGGTTCTATACTACTCCGGCATTTACCTTACGAATTAGGAAAACCTAATTCGGAGTAGTCCTATAATGAACAACATCCAATGTATAGCACTTTTGAGCCCTCTCGAAACCGGGGTAACTATACTACAAACACGCTATGAGTAACCAAAATGGGATCGAGCCATTCCCCAGGTATTACAACACATACATTGGACAAAACTAAGAGATGTCAAATATACCTCCCCGGGCGGGAGGAGTACCCAGGCCCAGTGGGGTCCCTGTAGTCATGGGCTAAAGTTGTTGGGTTCGGAACGAGTGAAAATGTTAGTGTTAGGTTCACCAAGGCCGTATAAACTCGAATAGCTCGATCCCCTCTAAACAAGCACACTTCCCTCTTGATTACTCACAGTCCCAAATAAGCAAATATAATGAAATGCAATGGAATAATCGAGAGTGACTAAAAAGCACAATACACAAATCTGTACACATGGAAGTATGTACAGCACAGATACAGCCCTACCGACAATGAAACATGATTGCCAATACCAACATAGGTTACAAAGGTACAAGTAATTGAATGCAGTAAGTACATAAGTAAAGGGTTACAGTCTGCATTCAAGTTACACACATTTATAGATTAATTGAATAAAGCAAATACCTCACCTAATATAACAAAGCAAAAGTACACAGCAATGATTAAGGTATAACAAAATATTTCAAGACAAACCGTAGGTACTTTACACTTCAGCCGCTTACAAGACAAAGACCATGAACACACATGTTAAATCCTATTTATTTGACCAACCCCAGCCACGCGGTAATTTGATCTGCTAATACCCCTAAACCACCCCAAAATCGCCCATTCCCTGCATTTCACGCATTTCTAAGAAAAAAGTGGACTGCAGGTGTTTGAAATTGTAAACACATGTCGTCTTTCAAGAAATTCCATCCGTCTCATCTTCGCTCTCTTTCCCTTTTCTGTAATCCCACCAGATTTCTGTTGGCAGCTTGTGTAACCTACATGATGTATAGGGTGCTTCGTATCGACAATCATATTCACAGGACGTTGTTAAGGTTGGGGCAGCTCACATTTTTTCCAATAAATTAGGCCTCGCTGTGGGTAAATGCTACATATGCATCAATTAATTGCTTTATCGGTGGGGTGTACAAAGACGTTCTGCTTATAGCAGCCACGGTTTCGTTACTTTCTTCCTTTTTGGCATACAGCCGTCAGCTATTTTTCTCATGGTGGTGTCGTCTAAGGTTTTTGGACGCTCGCATCCTACACAAAAAGTACCTAAACGCACTAAAGTTTCTTTACTTTTGTATAATTGATGAGCATCTACTACAGAGGTTTGGCATTGAAGCCTTCAAAAGCACTATGTCTTGTTTTAATAGCAAATTTGCATGTTCCAATGCATTTACCCGTTGCACTTCCTGCAGCAAAAGAGCTCGTTGCGGAACGTCCGTTTGGCGAAGGTACCGTCTTAATAAATCATCACTGTCCATATATCTACTATTTAATATATTCAATAATTGATTGTGTGCAAGCATCAAAGTTTCCCTTTCAGTTTTCAGTTTCGTGATCTAAAAAATGTTATATTCACCGCGGTATAAATTGGCCTAAATATGTACCTACTTTTACATTTTTCTTCTCCTTTAACGCGACGTATTTCGTACATAGTTTTTCGAGCAGTGATTCGTATAGTTGTAACTTTTTAGATAAGTCGGAAGTGTTTTGGATAATATCTTCATTCTCTTTGCAAAGTCGCTTCACTTCCTTGTCCTTAGAAGACAAAAGTCGTAGTAAATTGTCGTGGTTGTTTAACAGTTCTTCGTATCTGTAAAAGTGTAAATGGACTGTACTGCCAGAACGAGTTAAAGTTAGTATCCAGATTACTTATATTGGAGATTAACCACGCTCATGGTGGAATACGTCGTACTGAAATCCGTATGGGAACGCGAGGAGTTTTGCTCGTATTTCTGGTGAAGAAGATCTGAAGATTTGATAACGTTACATTCTGTATTGTTTAGAAAATTAAAATGATTTCTCTACTTAGAAGTTGCTTGTTTTCTTTTCTTGCTTCGTTTAATTGTGTCAACATGCTGAAATTTTTTATACCATCAACTTGTAACTGCCTCAACAGTTGCTTATCTTCGAAGTCCGATTCCGTAACACTTAATTCTAAATTTTGAACCATATGTTTTATGCCTTCCAATCTTATTTTGATTTCGGATTTAGGTTTCTGAATTGGTATCCTCTTCATAAAAACAGTATTCTCGGAACTATTGCAGTCGAGTATATTAACCATAATTACATATTTATCGCGAATGCAAATTTAAAAAGGCGCAATCTATAAATTTGCTTCTTTTTCCCATTTCCCAAACACAAACGTATGTCAGATTGTTTGACACAAGAGTTCCGTGATAGGGTCACTATTTTTACCACTCGCACGTTAATTAAGGGAGGTATTGCAGATTGAGAATAAACCCTCACTTATTTTTTGACGGAAATACTCGTATACGTTTTGCAGCACCAGTAATCCAAATCAAACAAAATCTCGATTATGCCGGTCTGTCTGTTGGTCCGTCTGTACTCTCATTTCCGGGTAAACGGCTGAACCGATTGGAAGCAAATTTGGATTACAAGACATCAAAGAGAAAGCTTTTGGGCAGAATCGCGCATGCGTGTGTCAGCACGCACTGACCCTTGCCTTGCGGAAAGTGAATGGTTCTTTATTTCTACGTATAATCTGAAAATTAAAACCTGATGCTTTGATTTGATCATCTCAAATAAATATTTGTGTAAATTGGATTGCTTGAATATATTAATGAAAATAATATCGTTGCAACTCTATTTTTGTTGACATTCGGTTATCATATTAAAAATTAAAAATGCATATAAATTAAAATTTCAAGCGTACCAAATCTAATTATACATCTATTTGTAATTAATCCACTACGGTATCAATGAACTCACAATTCAACTTCACAATGAATGAGGAAAAATCACCAAAATCTTCTGTTTGAGTTCGCTTATTCAAAAAAAATATACAAATTTGTTCACGGAATAAACTTCCGTGGGTCGATCTCTTCAGGAATATTAAATTGACTTTGAGTACAATTTTTTTTTACAAAGTTGAAATCTTCTCCAGATTGCAGTCGATTTTCTCCTTGTAAAGGTAGCGGCAATTCGGAAAATTTGATGGCGGAACGTCTTGTGTAATGCAATTGAACCTTTTGTATTGTCTGGTAAAGTTGACTGCTCGTTGAAAATGAATTTTGGAAAACAGTTGACTACCCAAATCAGGAACAAACTAGGCTCAAACACGCGCAAAACTGAAATAAAATAGCTGTCACTTCCTATATAACAGGCAGAGACTTGCTATTATAACTAGACTGCGCGTAACGTATCTAAGGTGTTGTCGACACAGTATGCAACACACAATGCACCGCGGGGCAAAAATCGCTGAGATGATATGCAATATAATGGAAATAAGCTGTTATTTTAGATGTTCCGTTCATTAATCATTCTCGTGATTAGCTCGAATTAGTGAACAGATAAATTTCTGTTGAGAATAAACCAATAAACTTAGGTTAGCTTGTGCCTATCAACATGTACTCTGTCGATAAGTTTTTAAATAATATGCTGATTTTCAACGGATAAAAGTTTAAAGGGCCAATGGATCAGAGCCATTCGAAGAGAAAAATTTACTCCCACCATAGTGCATTTGCGGGGAATGAAGCCGATTTTAGAAAGGTACCTACGAAGGTGTTTAACAATAATGCAATACCGAGCGTTTTCGACATTCCCATTCACTTAAAATAACGTAGAACTATTATTCGACATCCTTTACCAGCAAGACAACGGCAATACCTATTTGCCTATTAGGTATAGACGTAACTAAGTACTTACTGGTACTAAGTATATTTCAGGTTTTGTTACAAGAAAAATAGCTAAGTCTGTTAAATGTTCCATATGTGCAGATGCGATATCCGCATCAGAGAGTCATTCAAAGCTTTTAACTAGAAAAAATCGTGGAGGATTGTTGCACGTATCAAGCGATGCATTAAAAATTTGCCAAATTGCTGAAAATGTGTTCAGGTTTTTCATTCAATCCACACCACACCGCGTTGTAAACAAAATGGTTATCAGCAGTCTAAGAAAAATAAATAACAGTTACAGCCCATTTGGGTTTTTGGATAGGCATATATTGAATCAAAATCCGCTAAATAATCATATCTTACTACTTACATTTAGTTTTAAGAGTATATTTTCCGATACGTGTTCACCACCAAAATACACATATAAATCAAATTAGGACTAGAGTAAGGCAGTTATATACCAATTTAGTTCAAATAAAATACCAATAAATTCGATTAAAACAGTTAACAGCTATATGTTATCTTTTTTTGCTACTAAAATTTACAATCAACATGGCTAAAGCAAGCCGCAGAACGTACGTCTGCCCCGCGATGAACAGTTGGTTGCCTATCCTATCTTGACAACAGGCGTTTATAGTACAATCTACGTTACGCGCGGTCTAGTTATAACAAGTCTCTGATAACAGGCGATCAAAAATGAGTTGCTGTCGAGTCGCCTTTGGAAGTTCAAGCTAAGAACGATTTCCCATGGAAACAAAAATTCCAAAGGTGACTCGACAGCAACTCATTTTTGATCGCATAGTATACATACAAACATGGCGACCTCACCCGGTACGTGCGTTTTGTTGTTTTATTTGTCTTGCCTTGCTTTTGAATTAATACCTATAGCTCTTCTTCCAGGTTTTTTCATATAAAAACGCCGTTGTTAACATCGAATTGACGCATATGTAGTTTTTGCAACGCTGCTGTTATGCTTAATAACGTTCTGTCGTACCATGGTTCTACCGGTATCAAACCGCTGTACATGGCATTCTGTTTGTGAGCATCCTTTTACAACTAGACGCGCTGTATACCTACCGGTCTATTTGTCCGTTGTTACGCGAAAAACCCATTTGCTCTTTATCTCCTTCGTGTCTTGCGGGTAAACCATATATATATTCTCTTATATATATGGGGTAAACTGACAAATTGCCAAGTGCTATTGTCGTGGAGAGACAGAGAGAGTTTAAATTATTGACACTATATTTTTAGTCCATAGTTTAATATAGACGACTCGTAGGACCCGAAAAATTTAATACATAAATTGGCCGTATTTACGGTATCTGATGCTCACAATATTATTATTGGAAAATTTTTAGCGTGAATCATTAATCGCGCACTTTCCACAACGATTCTGTTCTCACGCTCCGCAATTCCATTTTGTTCAGGGTAGGTACCTATACGACATTATTTTCCAAAAAGTTAAAAAAGAAGCTCTTTCACTGTAACTTCAGTTGCCCTGCACTTTTCTAGAAAGACGCGCAAACATTTTGCATTTTTGGCACTAAATAAAAACACACGCGACGATACCTGGGGTAGTCATTCTTAAAACATACAAATGGCCACGCGCGGACTTTTCTTGCATTGGCCAGCAAACATCAGCATGTATAGGTAATTGAACCACATTCAGTTGGTCTTTTTTGTCTTACTTTAAAGTTCGTTCTTTGATATTTTTCTTCGCAAAATTTTTCTGCGGCAGTTTTTGGCTCCTTAACTGGCATTTGAAAACCGTACAAACAGCAGTACTCAAGATTTTTAAAATGAAAAATTCTCATTCTAATCTTAAAAGTACGTTTATCTACGTATTGGCTCGTTGGTCTAGGGGTATGATTCTCGCTTTGGGTGCGAGAGGTCCCGGGTTCAAATCCCGGACGAGCCCTGTTTTTTTTTTCGTTTGATTATAAAATAATAGTTTGTTCTAAATTAAAATTCAATAAATTACTTTTGAGACTAATTTAATATTCAGGGCGAGTTCGTCATTAATTCACGAAGTCAAGATAAACTGCACGAATGTTAGTTCATTATTACCTCAGAGTAAGAAATAAACTCTGAGATTATTACTATCCCCATGAATAATAATTAATCACATTCTTTATTCAATACTATCAGTTATTGAAAACGCACATTCACCAACTGAAAACTGTATTTCTTGCAACAATTGAAACACTTTTTTCGTTAGCAAGAAACATACAATAAACCTTTCTTCCCGTTTGCCATTTCTTAATAATTGTACAAACAGTGGTTTAGTTAACGATATAGTGAAATGTTAATGATTAATGACCGAATGATAGTGAACAAGAAATTAGGGCGGGGATGGGAACTATGGAGATCAACTGCTTAAAAATGTAAAATGTCACTGTACTGCAAATGTATTGTAAGGAGGTAAAAATTCTGCAATACAATGTTCTGCAACTGTAATTTTCTCCTTTTATTGGAGATAAAGCGCCTTATCATCCAACACGAAATATGATACCTAAAACCATTGAATTTATAAAATTCAATGCCTTCATATGCTAGCGAAAGAACAGCAATCGACAGATGTATGGCTAGGTTTTCTCACACTTGTATACAAATAATAAAATTATTTATTACTATGAACAATTTTTCGTTAATTCAACACAAGATACATTTACGAAAGCGCTATAAACAATTTTTTGATTGCAATTTAAAATATAAAAAAACTTAAATAAATTGATAAAATTTTATGTCATTGTTCCAAATACTGGATTATGCCTACATATACTCGGACCATATTCTTCATATGCAGCCTTGGTATGACACACTTGGTAGAATTCGGGCTAAAAATATAACATTTAGATATTATACCCCTTTTTCCCTTGTACTTACAGTAGAAGCAAGCATGCTACCTCCAAACCACACTGCAAAACGTTGCATATGATGCGAAATTACTTGAACATCGATCGGCTTTGGCTAAAAAAAATATTGCAAACATGAACTGTAAAAAACATATTTTTACCTTGATCCGACCACCGCCTAAATTTTCGCTAAGCTTCAGTCTAGCATCTACAGTACGCTTAATATCCCTTTGTAACCTCCTACCGAAATCCCTGAACATTGTCGAGCCCCCCGAGAGCACAATATTATTATATAGGGGTCTTCTCACGTCGATGGGGCAATTTTGAATAACATCATCTACAATCTCAGACAACGGTGTCGTAAAATCCGGATTCGAAAATTCGGGATGGAAAAATATCTCCGGTCCCAGAAACCTCTCGTACCCCACGTCTACAGTGAAAGGTTGCTTGGTTACAGAGTTTATCGCATCGTATTTCTTGATCCACTTGTTAGGGTCGGAGTCGTACTTCGCGAATTCCTTCGCAATATCGGGACAGATGTAGCAATTACGTTCCTTTATGGCCTTTGCGGTCTCCAAGGATTGCTCGGGTGGAATGCCAATTTCGCGTTCCCTTAGTAACGACTGAATAAAATATGTAATATTGCGACCCGCAATTGGAATGTGTTTAATACAGCTTCCTATAACATACCCTTCTGCCTAAAATTAAAGAGTGAGTCGGCTGAAGTGGGCCTGTGTGAAGTTAGCGACCAGTTTCCGGCAACCAAGGTGCTGAAAACATCCACAATGGCATATCAGTTGATAGTGTAAAAACTTTAATTTATGAATATCTTAAAAACCATATCGGAAGAACATCCTTACAAAGAAAAAAGGGAAGATATGGATGAGACATATCTAGCCGTATGACCAAAACTTCAACTATCTCCAGAACAGGCTATTGAAGGAGGGTATTTGTATTTTCACTCGCTTAAGAGAGGGAAAATTTCAGAATGACCCTATATTTCCTTAGTTAAAAGAGATACACAAAAAGTCGTATACAACAGTTTTTAGAATAAGGACATACGTAATCTCATTTTTTGTAATGGAACGTTTTAAAATTTCTTGAATCACCTTAATTTTTTTGAATTTTTTTTAATCACTTGGCCCTTTTTTCAATGTCATTCATAGTGTATTATATTTGTGAATATAGAATTTAATATGCTATCTTTTTAGATTAAAATCTACATGATGTTCCATTAAAAAAATAAGGTTAGGTGTGATAACTTTTTTACCTGACCCTGTATACTTATTCTGAAAACGGTACATTATTTCACAATCATTATAAAGAACTTTGGTATGAAGCATTTTGCTGTATCTCTTTAAACTAAGAAAATATAGTCATTTTTTGATTCTTCCCCACATTTCTGAAGCGACTGAAAATGTTCAAATTTTTATTTTCATTTTATCATTTTTGGACCTTACACATACAGACGCCTGTACTTCTTTTTTATGGTACCAACAATTACGAAAATACACTATAAGTGTCAAAAATGGGACACCCTGTAGGTACACATTCTAATCTATAACGATGTTGACAAATTGTTCATATGGTTTAAGATGAATGAATGCTTTCTTTCTTTTCAATATTAAAATGTGATCAATTAAAAAAAATTAAATAAATTTAACAGCGGCATTCATTTTTTAAAATTACATTGTTCTTAATAACAATTTTCTTTAAAAGTTGCGCCTACCAAGTACCAAGGGCAGGTTAAATCCACCTCTGACCAACATTTCAACATCAAAAACAGAACAGTCCTAACCTTAAAAAACGAAACAATCTCTGAAACCGTTTTTTTACTGGTTTTTTTGCGTAATACTATGGATTTTACGCTTTTAGTACCTAAATGTGAAATAGATATAAACTGAAAGTTTTGCACTTTTGTTTTATCTATAAGCCTGTTGAGATAAAATTGTAGTATTAACTGCTTTTTTGTGCTTAATTTTTATTAATCAAAACATATTTCAGTTCAAGGTAGTTGCGTAAGTCAAGAAAAAAATGCACCTTGTATAATTTTAAACTTTTTAGTGTGATATTCCATCTTAAATAATTGTAATTATATTCAGGGGTTGATGGTACACCAAATTATTATAGACTGTACGGTATGGCCGATATAATAGCCACTTTTTAAACTTAATCCTTCTATTATAAATCAACCATCACTGCACATTCAGATGTTTTCTACATATTGGCCATTGGAAATTGACTGCTAACTTCACACAGGTATCAGGTAACTGAAAAGAAATTGACTTACCACTGGAATCACATGAGTTACGCCGTCTCCACTGTCAACAACAATACCAGTTAATGTGCGATCCTCGATGGACCGAGAAGCCCAACTAGCAGCTAATGCGAGTACGGCTTGAACGGCAATATATAATCCGGGAACATTAAACGACTCGAACATTATTTCGGCAGTGTATTCACGATTCTCAGGTGTATTTAAGGGTGGTTCGGTTAGGAGGAAGTAATGATCTTCAGGCTCCGCTCGTAAATACTTAAAAATGCAATGCTCCAAAAAGCGTTCCATTAAATCCCAATCTTCGACTAGCCCATGCCGTACCGGGTACTAACAGACGATTAGTCGACCACATGCTCCACTTGCCACACTTACCTTAACCGCATATCCGGTTGCATCGAACGCTTCATCGCCGATGTAGAAGTCGAGATCTTCTACACCCTTAGTTAATCTACGACTAGATTGATCGCCAACTTTGGCGGTCTCCTTTATTGCTATTGCCGACGGTATGATAAACTGGGGCTCCTTATTTGCGGCGAAACCTAACTTTGTGTACCTAAAAACCGTTAATAATGAAATTGTTTACTGGGCCACTGCAGAGAGAGGTTAGTTGCGGTACCCACCCGGTTCCCACGTCAATGACACAAGCAGGTAGCCGCCCTTCCATTATCGAAACTTGCGGAAAACGACGAAAATTTAAATGAAAAGTTGAGGGAAATTAATACAATTAATAAAATTACATTTATTTTCCACACCCAACGAATTTGTCATACCAACACCACACCTACCAGAGAGATACTAAATTTAAGACGTTGCCACATTTATCACTTGATTCAGAATATTCGGATTGTTCAAATGGTATTCCTGCTTTTTTTCAAAATTCGCTCCGAGGACCGAGGGCGATTAGCAAAAGGTAGGTACTGGCTTTTCAGAATACTAATTACAGATATTTAAAAAAGTTAAACATGTTCATGAGTAGGCTCAGCAAAATTCGAAATAAAAAGATGGGCTCGTCCGGGATTTGAACCCGGGACCTCTCGCACCCTAAGCGAAAATCATACCCCTAGACCAACGAGCCATTGCTAGTGTTTTTGAATTTTATTGTATTACTAGTAAAAAATTATAAAATATTAAATAAAGATTAAATTTAATAAATGATTTATTCATTTAAAAAAAAACATTTCTACAATAAGCGGATTCATCAAGTTATCCTGTAATGTGGTTACCTGGGAACACATGATACATTAAACAGAAAGACTGAATGACTCCTACTGGTAGATACACCTCTTGTTCATGTGGCTATATTCTCACTTCCAAAGTTCCAAAATCAGGAACACTTTGAAGATTACTTTCTCCAGAAACCTTTCTATTAAAGTTCTATATGCCTCACATTGGCACATGTGAAAGGTGTTTCTTCTTCCTGTCCAAACCCCCCACACAAAGGGTATGTATATTGAAGTCCCATTATTGTGCTGAAGTGCAGGTATTGACAGTGCGCCCCCATTCCTATATACTGAGTTAAACGTCCTTGGTTTCAACAGATCTTTCGCCCTCCCTTTAGCTAGACGTGTCGGTTGGGCTTGGGGATCTTATAAAAGGCAACTCTCGACCTTCCTAATCGGTGGGCCATTCCGTTAGCCTTAACAGCAGAATTCGTGCGTTATTAAGATATTATTTTCCACATTAAGCTGGCTGAGGTTTCAGATGCAGTCATCCATCCGTCAAGCCAGTGTTCACTTTTTGCGCGCCCGGCACTTTTTGCTTCCTGATTGTAAAAACACGATTACAGCTCGATTTCGAATACCGTTACCGACGCCAATTTTCTCCCCCGTTTCGTTTCGAAAAATGCCTGTTCCCCGCATTTGCGCAGAACCTCAAAACCAAGATTTCATGGTTATTGTATACAGGGTGGTGCACGGTAAGTAGGAACATAGGGATTTAACATGGGAAATTAGTTTTTTGCAATATCCTGCCCTCCTGTACATTTTACAAGAAAAACTGTAGAGTTTAAAGTTGTTCAGAATGAAAAGGTGCATACAAAACTGTTTTTACATGTTTTATTAAGCTTTTGGTATACCCGCAAATTTAAAAATAAATTTCAACATTTCTGTTATTAGTAGCAATAGCCATGACTTTTGTTGTTTTTCTGTAAAATGTACAGGAGGGCAGGATTTTGCATAAAACTAATTTCCCATGTTAAATCCCTATGTTCCTACTTACCGTGCACCACCCTGTATACACAGCGATTCGTATTATACTGCTATTCTTTCAACTGTGATGTGTGTTGCCTAACCCACAGGGTATGTTACAACTATATCATCCCTATAAGCCTTTCAATCGTCCTTTCTATTTTCTTTTAGACGAAATGAAGTTATGCTTATACGATTTTGCCTGGTCGTATGACTCGCGTCCAATGAATATCACTTTTAACTTTCTCCATAATACATTAGGTAATACTGGCGCTTAATTAGAAGTGTGTACAATTTGGATTTAATCCCAAAGATGTAATGTTTGGAATTTTTTAATCGCCTATTTAATTTTTGTCTGATATGCTATCTGGTAATCTCTAATCCTACCAGCTCGCTTTCCAATCTAGAGCTTTTCTTTTTTAGGTCTGAGAAGAGAATAATAGACCCTGGAAAGTGTGCGACATAGGATGGAAAAGTACCTAATGCAACAGTGCTACAATGTTCTGGAAAGGGTTTATGCTGTAGGAAAGGAAAGGGCAAAACAATTATGGAAAGCCCAGGAATGGGCATTTGCTAAAAAAAGAACTGAACTGCCAATATCATTCACCACATTCTCAACCGTATTTCAAATGGAATTTGTAGGTATAATGCTCAGTCCTAGGGCCTAGTAAAGTTCTCAGTGAAAATATTGAGACCAATAAGAATAAGGATTGAGTGATAACTTAGAGGAAATTTCTCTCTATGGTGATAGCTACCTTTCAGGCCACTGCACAAAGCTATGCTTGCTTGGGGGCATACTTTCAGGCCACTGTAAATTAAACAGATGTGATTGGTCGAAACACCCTCCTGCCGAGGATGCAAAACAGGCGAGGAAATCGCTCACCAGAGTCCATGTTGGGGGAACATCGCTAATATTAGGGCCGCTCACCCTGCAGGTGTTCTCTAGTTTGCATCAAGCATGGGGTGGCTTGTGTGATGCTGGGGGTAGACAACTCTAATCATGGAAGTCCAGTGGGTAGCTCTACGTGCATGTGGATGTTAAGTTCACCCTCCACTTGAAATCCCGATAGTTACATTACCGTTGTCATCGAAACAGTGCTTTAACGAAGGTATACTCTTCGGCAAAGTTGAAATATAATACCTTTCCAGCAAGACTGTTCAAAATGGACCTGTCACCGAACAACTTTAACCCTACTTTTAATCGTCCAAATAAAGTTACACCACTTGATAACCCACAAAATAGTGTTGATAGGGTATTGGCTCCCATTAAAAAGGTGGCCCACAAATAACTACGGTCACATTAAGTTAAGGTCAAGGGGTGATATCATTGTTCGTACAATAGAAACTTTGTGAATAAATTTATGGGTGCAAATTGGAGGTTACGCTTACGTCATTTGCGATGTTGACAAAATCCACATATCGTAGTTAAAAATAAAACTATTCCCCGTTAAAATTTCCTTGATGTTCAGTTCATATCGATAATATGTGTCTACATTTCACTGTTTTATAACAGAGGAAACTGAAAATATGTAAAATAGAAAAAATAACGGCACTTATTGGCAGAGTAATTAACCAATCTCATTGACAAGCTGCGTAATGACATGCGCACGCGGCAGTTTAGCCACCGATTTTCCAAGTTGCAGTGCAAGCCTCGCCATCTCTTATTTCTTAAAACAGACGTTGCCATTTGTGTACGCCCTCACAGGACATTCCCGGAGTTAGGGGTAAGTTTTTAAATGCGATTATTTTAAAATTAGCGACGTTTTACGTACACCACAAGTTCTCCAAGTAAATTGCAACCGAAAAATGTTAATTTAACGGCGTCCTCGTTTAATTAAGTGCGCGAACAAGTGATAATTCGCCGTTATGCCTCGCACAGCCTATACCTGTCGTTCACCTCCATATTGATGACAGCGCCGACCGTGCTAATTTCTCGAAATTTTTGTTGAAATGCCCCCTACATCTAACTTCGTTAAGTAAAAACGGTCTTTAAATTACACGAATGGACCAAAATTATGAAAACAATATTCGCCGACGAAACCTTTCGAAAAAAGGTCACATTTTTATGGCTTTGTTTGATAAAATGGCGTCGTATTCATCGAAAAGAATCGTCAAGATCAGTTCACGGTTATTCGTGCCGTTTAACGAAAAATCGGCGTTCACGCCGCACGCGATCTGCGTTTGGTTTTTGTTACTTAAAAAAATAACCCGCCGTCTAATCCTAATCGTGGAAATGTGTTTTTGTGCATCTACAAGGTCGCGCAAAATTAAATGGCAAATGGATTTTTTAAAAGAAAGTTTGAGCTGTTGCAAAATGTACGCGTAGAAAGTCGTTAGGAATATGACTTCCCATCCGATTTTAATGTTTAAAAGTGAGTGGTCAATTATCAGCGAAACAGGAAATTTCATATCTCTACAATCCACCAAATACCTACTTCAGTACAAATTGAGATTCCTAATTCCAACATTTTCTTCGAAAATGTCTAACACATATAAAGCTACTGCTACTGCTAGATCACCTGCAGCCGACCAATCTACCTGCCTCGTTTTTGTATCCTCGTAAATTTATTTGTCAGAATAGAAGCGGTTAATCGAATTGGATAGATTGATTCACAAGGTTTTTTTTACAATTTCTAGCTGGCTACTATTGTCAGTATTACCCAATGACTCGGCTAATTTAGTAAATTATGTATCGGATAATTGTTTTGAATAGTAATGGTAGAAAAGTTGAAAATGCCATGACTACAATAAATTCAGCGTGAAATAAAATCGTAGGAGATAATGGATTCCACAACCTTGGGCTAACTATCGGCACCTTTGATGATTGAACTAGGTATATAAAAAGCTGTGTGCATGTAGTGTACAGTTAGCGTTAAAAGTAATGTGTCTCATATATGTCAAATGAAATCAAATAAGTATAGGGTGTTCCCTCAGAAGTGCCCCCAACTTGATGAATTCCTCTTATCATTAGTCAAATTTGTCATTACGGGATGCAGTCACAGTAGTCCCTAATATCTACTTCAGATGTGTAAATTTAGTGTAACTATACAGGGTATCTCAGATAAAAATAACCGAGGAAATAACTATATGGGGATTTTAGAAACGAGAAGTGGTTAAATGGGAAAAAAGTTGAGGAAAAAGTATCGAAATTAAAAATATCTACAGGGATTTCAAAGTGTTGGAAAAAACTGGATTTTTCAAAAAATTGTAATATCGTCCCCGTCCCGTAAACAAATTTAATTGTAATTTGGTGTATTAGATTAGCAACTACGGCTATCGAATGGCGTTAACGAATATCTAAGCCTTCTAGTTTTTTTTCCTACCATAGCCAATTTTTACAGTCCTCGAAATAGCCTGCTACTTTTATAAAGTTATGCATGTGATCATAATAAATTCAGAATTATTGTCCCAAATTTGAGGGTGGCCTTTGAGTTCTCGGAAACCTTAAGAGATACACAGTCGGTTAAATGGGGTTAACGTTGCGCACTTGGGGGCTGAATCTAACTCTGCTTACTACCAGTGTAAAATTTAAAAAAAATGGGCGTTTTATTAAAAAAACTAAAAAAATATTTTTATCTCAAAACTGGCCATTTTTATAAAAATACACCATTGAAATTTATATTTAAAAAACTTTTAATATTTTGAATAACTTTTATCTTAGTCGAGATATGAAGGGGGCGTGAAATTGACAAATTTTCAAAATTAGCTTATAACTCAAAAATAGGATAGGCTGTGAGAACTTTGATTATAGCATCGTGAGTTTTACATAAAACACACAGTGTAATTTTAAAAATTAAATTAAAAAAATGTAAGGTTTCAAAAATGGAAATGTGTAGAAAATATTGCAAATATATCTGGACAAAACTGAAAATCGTTAGAAAGATATTCTAGACATTTTCAAAATTTTGTCCAGATATATTTGCAATATATTTCCTAAATTATCTACACGTTTCCATTTTTGAAACCTTAAATGTTTAAATTGAACTAGCAGCTTGGCAGATTTTTTAAAATGTTTTTTTTTTCAAAACAATTTTTCTTTTAATTATTGCGAGTACCGACTACTTACACAAAATTCTTTTTGAGCAGGTTGAAACATGACAACAGCACAATATGCACAAGATCCCATCAAACTAGAGGGTGTAGATTCATCCGAAAATGTAACAGAAATTCAGTCATACCTCGAAGGTTTTCAGAAAGAGATCGAGAACACTGATGGAACGATTCAGCAGGTCACAAGTAACATTTGCCAAATTTTTTTGATATTGTATTATAATTGTCGGTACATTTCAGCTCTTCAGACCGATGGCGAAGAAGTCGACGCAGAAGGCGGTACCTACTTCGTCGATCAGGCGGGCCACTATTACTATCAGGCGAAGGGCCAAGTGCCTTCCGTTATGACCGTGGTGTCCTCGATCAACGATGGCGAGGAGGGCGAGGAATTTATTATTAATCAAGAAAACGATGAAGAAGGCGACGATGGGGAAGAAGTGAGATTGGGTCGTTTGTCTGAGCCGTATTTTATTTCTCGTTCCTATTTCAGGCCATACCCGAAGATGCACCCAATCATATTTTGATCAATTCTGGTAACGCCTACCAAAAGGTTACTGTCGTTCCTGCTGATACGAATACGGGGGAACTCAGTTACGTTTTAATCGTACAAAATCCTGACGACATAAAAGAAGATGATCAGACTGATGGGGATCAAGATATGACCGGTAGGTATGTTGCTTCAAAAGCAAAAGTTTGAGCAATATTTTGGGCAAAACGGCCCTATTGAATAACTGGTGTACAAATTTTGAGAAATTGATTTACTTTCCCACTCATGACTGATTTGTTGAAAAATGGGTCTTTACAATCATAAAATTCATAACCGAGTGCGGATCCTAAGCAATAGGTCTACAAAACAAAGAACAATCTATAGTACATTCAGTAAAAGTTAGTGAGAAAGAATTATGCCCCCCCCCCACCTCCCCCAAACTCTTTGGGCTCACCTAATTGCCCTTCCATAACTGAAAACTAGCAATTTTGTGGATTTTTGTTGGATTATCTGGTTAGCATCATCTCAATCAGTACGGTAAGAGATAGAAATTTAGTTCAATGGCAGAAAAGTTGCGTACTCAAAGGTCTAAGAAGATAGCGTGTAGAAATCCCCGAAAAAATGTTTGGTTTTTGAAATATTTTGAAAAAATCGTCATTTTCATCCTTACAATTTTTTTTTTTGTGGCGTTAATATTTGATCTAGAGCAAAACCAATGACAGCAACTGTCAATAGTTGTTAACGTGGAGTTGTTAATTATTTAATCCCACGTTTTGTCTTTGCGGAACTATCATCAACTTCATTCCAGTACGGCCCTGATATTCCAATGTCATATTCTTAAAGGAGTTATTATTCTGAATTCGGTGATGTTTAATTGTTGTTTACCTACCCTTTTTTTCGGGTTTATTTAAACAAATTCCTATTATGGACCTGTGGATTGTGTCTTATTTTGGTTGAGACTGCAGTGTATCTCAGCTGTTTTTAAAGATAGAGACTTGCGGGTTTCGTGACTTTGTGGCACTTATTTATGAAACTATTTATACCACAAACAGAATCAAGCTAGCTTAGCTACGTTTCTTTCTGACATACAGGGCGAAAACGAAAAGTTTGACTTTTTTGGGATGTTATTATCGTATCGTACTACTCATGTAAGATAGAAAAAAGGCAAAAACATTTGATATATTTTTACATAGAATGCAGTAGCGTAACCAACAGAAATTTTGTAGGAAAGTTTCTGATACTTAACCTAAGTTGCTATTTTTTAAACGCAACACCCTGTATATTTTAACGCCAATTTGTTGCATTCATTGATGTATCACAATTTATTTTTTTAAATTTTAGCCATGAAAACTTATTTTTTTTTTACTGTTTTTAAATAACAGGCGATCAAAAATGAGTGGCGGTCGAGACGTCTTTGGAAGTTCAATTTCCCATGTAAACAAAAGTTCCAATGTGAGTCCACATTTTTGATCGCATAGTAGTAGGCCATGGATTCATGGAAATTTTGTTTTGCTTATTGCATCCATTGTAATTAAGGCGGTTGATATCAGTGAATAAGATTCGCTGACGGTAGAAACATGTTTTCAAAATTTTGAAAAATATAATATATATAAAGGGTGAGCATAAATTATTGAACACATTTCATAGGTGAATAGAAAACTAACAAACTGCAGGTGTGGGTCTATTTTTGTTACAAACGATAGTGTAGGTGTCAGCGTTTGTAATGACCTTCAACAAACAGTTGGTTCTATGGTAGGGGTAACAGAGTGACATTGGATTGACCGCAACAGGCCGAGTCCCTGACCCCCTTGGTCCCCTGATATTACACCACTCGATTTCTTTTTTTGGAGATTCGTCAATGAAGTTACGTAATATTGACCGACTAAAAAGAAGAATAGAAGCCATAATTCAGGACATCACTCCAGAAATGAGTGCAACAAGAGGTGTGCATGTGGAAATTTGTTGGAAGTTGTTACGTGTTGTAAAGAACACTATTTGAGATTGCCTTTTCAATAAATCAAGATTCATGTAAGTACACAAATCTGTTATTTTTGTATTCTCCTATGAAATGCGCTTAATAATTTATGCTCACCCTGTATAAGATATATCAATGTAACCAGGAAAATGAATACAAAAAATTGACCTTAAAATTTACAGGGTGTTGCGTTTAAAAAATACCAACTTTGAGTCAAAGGCAATTTTTACCTTTTTTCTATCTTGCAGGAGTAGTGAGATACAGCATCCCAAAAAGTCAAACTTTTCGTTTTCACCCTGTATCTTGGTAACACAGCTGTTTTAGAGATACATTGCAGTCTCAACCAAAATAGGACACTGTACAGGGTGGCCAAATAAGAATACGAGGTACTGTATCTGGGAACCTGTCCATCGTAGAGGCTTGCGGTAAAAAAATTTATTACAAAAACGACCACGAGCAAAACCTGGAAAATATTTTTAAGTTTCTGAAATGACCACTAGGGGGCGTAACTGCAATCTGGAATCTAAAAAAGTGATGTTTCTGTGAATTCCGCTATGTTAACCTAACAAAAAAATGTCCGGTCTTTGAAGTTGACGATAATCTGAACAATTTTTGTTTGACAATTTTTCCTGTATCTCTAGAAATGAAGTGGTGGGGGGGTATTCAAAGGTTTCCGTAAGGAACACCCTGTATCTTAGGAACGACTGAGCCGATTTTAACAAACTCGGGTTAATTGAAAAGAGTTATTCTTCGACTACAAATATTATAATATTTTAAGTTTTGTTAGTTTCACATATCGCCGCTTGAGGGCTTTTTTCGACATTCCGACAGAAATGGTTAATTTTCCCAAAAAAATTAAATGCGTTGGTTTGATTTTTTTTCATGAAAAAGTAGCTAAATGATGCCTAAACAATCTCGCGAAAACCGCATCTCGATGTCTTGTTCCTAACCTAAAATTTAGGCCAAAGAAAATTTTATACCCCCAAATTTTTTTAAGCTTAATTTTTCCGAAATTATTTTTATTATATAATTTGTGGCCCTAAGGTGGATCGATTTAAAAAAGGAAGCTTTTAATGCCACCGTAAATGATATCGAGATGCTGTTTTCGCGAGTTTGTTTTAGGCATCATTTAGCTACTTTTTCAAAAAAAAAAAATCGAACCAATGCATTTAATTTTTTTGAGAAAATCAACCATTTCTGTCGGAATGTCGAAAAAAGTCCTCAAGCGGTGATATGTGAAACTAACAAAACTTCAAATAGTATAATATTTGTAGCCGAAGAATAGCCCTTTTGAACTAACCCGAGGTTGTTTAAATCGGCTCAGCCCTTTCGAAGATACAGAGTGTTCTTTACGGAAACCTTTGAATACCCCCCGCCACTTCATTTTTACAGATACAGGAAAAATTGTTCAGATTATCGTCAACTTCAAACACCGGACATTTTTTTGTTAGGTTAATATAGCGGAATTCACAGAAACATCACTTTCTTAGATTTCCAGTAAAGTCACTAGATATAGAAAGTACCGCAATCATCCGCCATTTTTGGGCAAATTTGCTGCCAACTTAAAAAAATTGACAAATAAAATCTGAATAGCTGTAATTTTTTTATAACCTAACTTCATAGTACTGTCATGTTTTATAAAAATATATACAGATATCTCCAAACAGGTGGAACAATCCCTAACATTAAAGTTACTAGAATCCGTAACTTCCGCCAGTTTTGGGCAAAAATCATGCGTTCTCTCTCTAACACACGAGCCCAATGGATTGCGGTACTTTCTATATTTAGTAACTTTAATTTCCAGTAAAGTCAAATTCAAAAGTTGTTTCCCAGTTGGTGTGGTCTTACAGCTAAATCCTCTATAACGGCGGCGTTATGTTGAGTGTAATTGCAATAAATTATTTTCTCTCCCAGTATACGATTTTGATGAAAATGAAGACGGACCTCCGGTTGACTCTGAAGCGGAAGATGATAAGTCTAAGATTGTCAAAATCTTTCATAGGAAATCGCAAGTCGTTACACAAGCCCACATGTGTAATTACTGCAACTATACTAGTCCGAAACGGTATCTGCTATCTCGCCACATGAAATCTCACTCTGAAGAACGGCCACACAAATGTAGCGTATGCGAAAGAGGATTTAAAACATTGGCGTCCTTACAAAACCACGTCAATACTCACACCGGTACCAAGCCTCACGGTTGCAAATATTGCGAGGCAGCTTTCACGACATCCGGCGAACTTGTACGCCACGTTCGGTATAGGCACACGCACGAGAAGCCTCACAAATGTAACGAGTGCGATTATGCCAGTGTTGAGCTGTCGAAACTCAAGCGACACATACGATGCCACACGGGTGAAAGACCGTACCAGGTAAGTGCCACACCGTTGCGTTTAAATCAGAGTTGACCATCATTTTTAGTGCCCACATTGTACTTACGCCAGTCCCGATACGTTTAAACTAAAACGCCACCTGCGAATTCACACCGGAGAAAAACCATACGAATGCGACATCTGCAAAGTGCGATTTACTCAGTCTAATAGCTTAAAGGCTCACAAATTGACGCATAACAGTGAGTATACTATAATCGGGAGATCTTTTACTATATATGCTTTCGTTGACAGTTGGAGAAAAACCGATTTTTCAATGTGAGCTATGTCCTACGACGTGCGGTCGTAAAACCGACTTACGGATCCACGTACAGAAACTTCACACATCGGATAAACCGTTGAAGTGTAAACGGTGTGGTAAAACGTTCCCGGATCGTTACAGTTTTAAGGTGAGTATACAGGATGTCCCAGATCGGGTGGGATTGCATGAGTAACTTTCTTATTATTAAAGATAGAGAATTTATTCAAAATGTCAAATAGGTTTGAGGTAAATAAAAAAAAACTAAAATTGGTCATTTTCTTTAATGTCTTATATCATCGAAAGTATAAGAGATATAAAAAAAGGTTTGTATAAAAGTTACTCTTTGATACGTCTAATTTGGAATTGATGTCAAAAAAAATTCAAGATGGCTACCTTTGATTAACTGTTACCAACTTCGTAAGTTAAATAGGCGCCATATTGGATTTTTAGATTATTTGATAATTTTTTAATTTTCTTTTCAACTAAGATTGAAAATAAGATACCAGTTATATCAACGGTTTTTATATTTTAATCAAGTAGTCTGTGATGAATAAAAAAAAAAACAAAACAAAATCTATTCGAGGCAACAAAACAATGAAAATAATTACATCAGATGTTTAAAATATCAGGGGCGCACTCATGGGAAGGGGGTTGGGACGTTACAGCTCCCTCTAAAATTTTTATAAGTAGCCCTATAAACATTTTCACTTTTATGTCACTTATTGAGTATCCTATTATCCATACTTACATACCTACAAAATGGTGGTATAACTACAAACTATCCCCTCAAAAAAATGTCATGCCATTATCCAGTTAAACACATTTCAAGACACTTCGCTTTAGTTTACACTCCATTGATGCATTATCCCAGGTCACATTTTGTAGGTGGTTTATCCGTTAAGAATATCGAAACTAACTGCAGTTTTACCAGTCCAAGTATATGGACAGATGAGTCATATTTTTCTAACTGCGGAGTGTTCAAATCGACATAATGAACATTACTCGTCACAGGAAAATCTACATGTAGTTTCACGCCGAAATTAAGTAAGGTTTTAAATTAATGTATTTTATGATATAATGCGAGATCATGTAATTGGACCGGTAATCTTCGATGGAACTTTAACTGCTCACCATTATTTACAAATTCTCCAATAAACTTCCTTAAAGGATTTTCTAGACAACGTATGTTTCGCAGAAAGGGTTGGTTTATGGTACCTACCAACAATAAATTAAGCTGGTTGCCCAGGTCACAATTCACGAATTGTGTAGGTACATTGTACCGGGTGACCCAATAAGACTGTTCCTCCGCCATATCTCGGGAACCGTTCGTCGTATGACTTAGTGGTAAAAAAAATTATTGGGTAAATCGGTTATGAAGAATCGCGGGAAATATTTTCAAGTTCTAAAAATGACCACCAGAGGGCGTAACTGCCATCTTAAATTTTAAAATTGCATTTTCTTTAATTTTCGCATGATAAACTAAACATTCTTTTTTCACATTTTTAAAGAGAACCAGTTTATCTATCATTTTCGTAAAAACAAAAACTCGGATATTTCAAAAACAAAAATGGTGTGGGGCGTTCAATTGTTTTTGCAATAACCTGCTTTAACTTCTTAACCATTTGACCGATTGTAACAAATTTGGTATCGTTGAAAAGAGCCTTCCTTGGGAAACAAGAATCAACTAAATTTTAGAAAAGATTACAAATTCAAAAAACTGCACTTTCTGAATGTAAACACAGCAGAATAATTTACAAATTACGGCTGTTATTATTTTATAATGCATTGCGTTACATTTGTTTAATTTTTCAAGGCCTACCTAAAAGTGTAGGGTCCTTTTCCAAACAATCTTTCGCGCCATCGACAAATACCTGGAATACTTCAAATAAGATACAATTTAAGCATTTTTATTATTCAATTAATCTCATTTTCCCAATATTTGAGGTTAGGAACGAGATTTTGAAAAACGGTGTTCATTGGCCTATTTGGGTGTTATTTGGCTACTTTTTCATAAAGAAAAAGTCATATCATTCCATTTTAGGATTTTGGATCATAGTATCAAAACTAGCCCCTTGGCGGAGAAGGATTCAACTAAATTAACTATATTTTGGTTGATTCTTGTTTCCCAAGGAATGCTCTTTTCAACGATACCAAATTTGTTACAATCGGTCAAACGGTTAAGCAGTTAGAGCAGGTTATCACAAAAACAATTGAACGCCCCACGCCATCTTTGTTTTTGAAATAACTGAGTTTTTGTTTTTACGAAAATGATAGATAAACTGGTTCTCTTTAAAAATGTGAAAAAAGAATGTAGTTATGCGAAATTTAAAGAAAAAGCAATTTTAAAATTTAAGATCCAGCGATTCTTCATGACCGATTTACCCAATAATTTTTTTCCCCCTAAGTTATATGACGAACGATTCTCGAAATATGGCTGAGGAACAGTCTTGGGTCACCCGGTACATTAAAGAATAAAGTATATGGAAGTAGCTAAAACTATAATGATAATAAGAATAATTTCTTTGTTTTGTTACCTCGAATAGATTTTGTTTTGTTTTTTTTTAAATTCGTCACAGCCTACTTGATTAAAATATAAAAACCGTTGATATAAACTGGTATCTTATTTTCAATCTTATGCTATGATAGCTTGTGACGGTTTTTTTAAATTAAGTAGTTTTTTTATTTTATTTTTGTTATATTTTTTCTACTTATTATATATAGTCTACGAGTAGTAGAGCTTCGGTGAGACGATTATACAATCTACATTTGTATTTTATAATTTTTGGTAATCCAATAGGTTGGATAAGTAGATAAGGCTGCAAAGATTAATTCCTGAGATCGAGCAAGAATATAATGAACTGGTTTACCTCTAAAGGTCTTGAACGAGCCGAAGTGTAGATGCCATGCGGTTGAATAATCCGCCCACGTGTGAAAATTAACGCTGATCCAATAATAGCACAACCAATTGCCAACTAATAATTACAGCGTAAATAGGAGCCTTTATTCTTACGTAATCCTCAAATGATGAGAATTTTAAATAAGAATTCAGCTAACCACAAGTCAATCTTTCTCAAACAGAGAGATTGAGATTGATTACGGGATTCCTTTAATCAATCTCAATCATTCTCAGGTGACCAAATACTTAAACTTCAAAGATTCCCAACTTTGAATTGTAGGACAAGGAGAAAACATACATAGAAGGGGATCAGCTGGGATAACAATTTAAATGTGAACACTGCGATTAAAGGTGAAATCACGGAGTGAAAAACAAGCGCAAAGAAAAATTAGAACGCTAAACGCTGAAATACAATCCCAAAAAAACTACGTAATTCTTAACCAAATAGCAGTGTATACGGTTTCAAAAAAAAACGTCACAAGCTCGTTGAAAAGAGAATTAAAAAATCTATCAAATCTAAAAATCCAATATGGCGCCTTGTTAACTTTAGAAAGTAGGTAAATGTTTTTCAAAAGTAGCCATCTTGAATTTTTTTAACATCAATTCTAAATAAAGAGTATCAAAGACAGTAACTTTTATATAAAACTTTTTTTTATATCTCTTATATTTTCGATGATATAAGACATTAAAGGAAATTACCAATTTTAGTTTTTCTGAATTTACGTCGAACCTATTCCACATTTTGAATTTCGACAAGGAAATTTTAAATAAGCATCTAAAACTGCAAAACATTGTCCAATGCTCTTTCTTTAATAATAAGAAAGTTACCCATGCAATCCCACGTGATCTGGGGCACACTGTATATATAAAATTAAAAGAAAAGCATCTAACAAAATCTCTAAAAGGAAAACCAAACACGGAAATACATATTCAAATGATACAAACTAACCCTAACCTCACATACACGATGGCCCAACCTTATTGAAGGTGTTGATGCCAAAATACCCTCTGCGTGATGTACTTTTACACAACAATACTCAGATAAATGATAACAATAAAAGGGAGTAAAAAAAATTTTAAACCTCTTCAAACACATCCTAATTCGCATTTATTTACTTTAAAAAAATAACTATCATGGCAACATTCTTAAACAAGTTGAGTGCCATTATTTTTCTACTACTTCAGTTTGATGCTTAAAGGCCGTTTTATAAACTCTGTCGCCCGCGTTCGCGCTGGCAGTTCATAGAATTGACCAATGGAAAAAGAGTACCCATTTGGCGTGTCAAAGTCAAACTCTGGATACTCTTTTTCCATTGGTCAATTACAGGAACTGCTGCTATACTTTAACATTATACAATGTCAATTATCATTTCTTCTCAACTATGTATCTCTCTATGACCTATCACTTACGCTCGCTCGTCGCGTTTTTTAAAACTTCGACTTATTTTAGCTTCACAATAAATCGCACGAAGGAGAAAAATGCTACAAGTGCGATCTGTGTCCGTACGCCTCGATCTCGGCGCGACACCTCGAGTCGCACATGCTGATTCATACCGATCAGAAGCCTTACTCGTGCGACCAGTGCGATCAGTGTTTCCGCCAGAAGCAGCTGCTGAAGCGACACCAGAACTTGTATCACAATCCCCATTATACGCCGCCTCCGCCACGGGAAAAGACGCACGAGTGTCCGGAATGCGGACGCGCTTTTCGACACAAAGGTAACCTGATCAGGCACATGGCGGTTCACGATCCGGATTCGGCGGTCGAGGAACGACAGTTGGCCTTGAAATTGGGCCGACAGAAGAAAGTACAAATTATCGACGGGCAACCTGTAAGTAGGGTAGATGTCAGCGTCTTAATTTTACCGTGACTTTAGGTGGAGGTCATGTCGAACATGGAAGGGTCCGAAGACGAAGATGGTGACGATATTATGGCCGTAGAGGGTTCTGATGGTCAACAGTACGTTGTCTTGGAGGTCATACAGCTTGCAGATGGTGACGACCAGACAATGGTTGGCGACAATCCATCTGGCTTATTAACCAGTAGCATTCTCGCAGATTCAGGTATGTCTCGTGCATTTTCTTGGGGCATTAACATCATCAGTTCTTGTAGATCTTAACGAGGAGGTTATTAAGGCTTTACAATCGGCACGAAGAGAAGGTCGACTAGAGGAGGATAAAATTACTGCCGTTAAGGATATGGAAAACTGTTTCGGATTTGATGTATGTTAATTTTTTTTTTTTTGTAAAATCTTACCCGTTAACATTTTAGGACGAAGATGATGATGATAACGATGAATCAAAAATAGACGAGGGAAGCGAAACTATCACGTTGCTAGGAGGAATAGAATAATGTATTTATAATAATAATTACTATTAGTTTGTTGTTTTTAATATTGTAAGATTTTTGGACGGTTTTTAATTTGTAGGTTAGGTGTATTTATACATTATGAATCCGATTTTTATTTCTTATTTTTTAGTGTACAAAGGAATGTAAATTGTATAACAACAGTTTTGTACATACTATAGTTATGACTGGAAATATTTTTTTCCAATAAATTTAATAAAAGTACCTAGTATTAGTACCGTTGTCAAGCTTCTGTTTTCTTCTTGATGTCTCCATACTCAAACTAGTTGTTAGCGCACTTGTTATGTCACGCACCTCCCTAAATCACTAACAAGGTGGAATATTAAAAAACCATGATCTGCAAGCACATAGTTGAGAGTGAAACAAAGACTTGTCCTCCAGTGGCAACCTGACTGCCTGAGCAGTGAACTCCCTACCCGGCTCATCTCCAGGGAGGAACTCGCGCCTGACAAGCGGGAGACGGCCTACACAAACGATAGTATGTAATGTCTAGGCTAGCATTACAATAAAGGTGCTCATGCTAGTGAAACGGCATCTGGTAGCATTGAAAACTGATGTTGACTGACCTAACCCAAGGTGTCTAGAAAGTTTTGAAACTAGCAGAGATAGTTGCAAAAATGGGAGAATGTAAAAGGCCCTAGGAGGATGCGGAAAAAGTAAAAGCTCCACCTAAAAGGTTTTGGAAACCTTTAAATATTATGGGAAAATTCCAAAAAAGGCGTTTAGAAAGATTTCCAGTCCCCCTCGTGTCGTTTATAAAGTTTTCGCGTGCTTGCTTTGTAAAGTACCTACCAAAAAAAAACTATGGAATTAAGGTCACAGAAAGCTCTTACAGGAATTTAGGAGTGCGCGAGACTAGAATTTTAATTGTTGTGGAAAGTTAAGCCGTTAAGGACTCTGAAAAGCATTTAACAATCTTTCAGATACTGATCCTTAGGCCTCTGAGCACCTTCTAAACCCCATACCGAAGGTCCATTCTAGTTAAGTGATCAGCTATACAACCTAATAGACATACCCTAAGGCTCTTTCAGGCACCAAAAAAGTTTCGTCTTAGTGCTTATAGTGACATTCTCAGAGTAAGGTGATCTGATAAAGTTTTGAACAAAGATTAGAAACTTTTGGTTGCTCCTAGATGTTAGAAAGTTTCTAACATCTAGGAGCAACCAAAAGTTTCTAATCTTTGTTCAAAACTTTATCAGATCACCTTACTCTGAGAATGTCACTATAAGCACTAAGACGAAACTTTTTTGGTGCCTGAAAGCCATTATATTGCTTTGAGAAACTGAATTTTTGTGAAAGCGTTTATATGGGACACTAGGGCTGGTTCAAAAGGTGTTGCAGTGCTATCCATAGTCTTTCCTGGGCAGAACCAGAGAGAAGTGCCAGAAAGACCCTAAAACACTCTGGAAAAACTTTTATTTTTTCGGAAGCAAGCATTGCACTGCAACGGGATTTCCCACGTAAGCAAAAATTCCAAAGGTGACTCGATATCAATTACTTTTTTTTTATCAGTATAGTAGGTATTTGACATGGTGCAATTTTATTTCAATTGCCATATGTCTGCCAAAAGAAGAAAACCATGGATTTGTCAACGTCAACGTCAAATAAAAATTAAATTTTTTTGAAGAAACATGAAAATTTGTCAAGCGGGCTTTAGAAGATTAGGGTCTCAAACCGCTGTTGCGGTTCATGACCACTATATCTCTCTGTCTACCGCGTCGGCGGTGTTGCCTATATTTGCAACAATGTTTTGAACATGCGGGTCACTCTGTAATTGGGCGCAAGCCTGTTGAGGGCCCAGATAATAAATAAATAATATATATGTAGGTACATTCCTTACGTATCTAAGTACAGGAATGAAAATTTTTACAGTAATTAAGTATATACCTAAAAATGAAGTATGGTAATAAGAGTCTACCGAGCTGGAAGTGTTGCACTAACCCAAGTCTACCACCCACGCAACCGCAACATGCAGAAAAAATTATTCAATTGAGCTTATTTTCTACAAAGATGAAATTTATGTTTGAAAAAGTGGTCTACCGATCGCGTGATGTTGCTAAAGGTCCCGGTAGACACGCTGGAAGATACGTTTTGCCGAGCACAACTGCTGCACCGATTTACTAAAAGTATCTCTAAATTATTAGGGTTTATATAACACCAATCGAAAGAAGATTTTTCTCTCATCTAATGATATGCGAATTAATTCATCTTCAGTTGTTTACTTATTTCTCATTATTTTATCAAAAATTCAGCAATAAATTCAATTACTAAAATCATTTGATTTTTGTTGATACCCCGAAACGGAAAATCGAAAGCATCTATACCGGGTGGTGACTTGAACAACGCAGAATTTCAATAATAATTTTTTCATTTCTGATGATTATTGACTTCCCTATAGTATTTGAGAGATAGTCTATTTAGATTTTTTGTAGTAAATTACGAACCCATGCATACTACTTACAGCTTTTAATTTTTTGAACTTTGAAACCAAAAAATTATGGATCACTAAAAACTGGTGCTTTTAAGAAAATCAATGGTGCCATGGCAGTTTAAGATCAAACAAAGCTAACTAATGGCAAATATAGGCGCTTTTGTTTGATTTCATAATTCCATGGCTATACCGACTTTATAAACACAATTCTTATATTTTAAAATTTTTACCGTTTCTGAATTTATGAAATAGGAAACTCGGCCGGTTACAGGAAAGCGAATTATAATCAAAATCCTAGATTATTTGCCAAATCTGAGTTTAAACAAGAATTTTGACATTTGATTGACTCAATTGAGTCTTAATACCGGATTAAACAATAATCCCGGATTTTTTGTGCACTTGATGGCCGTATAGTAGGTATGTACGAATTCGATAATTTTTTTCTCTACAAAAAACCTAACTTGACTTTTATTTCTAAAATAATTAGGGGAGCCAATAATCGTAAATTAAAAAATTACTATTGAAATTCCTATAGTGCGTTCGTCAAGTCACCACCCTGTATAGGGGAAGTTTCATAATTTTTCCAATTATTCTTTACATTTTCCTGTAAAATGAAGTGATGAATGAATGATAACAATGTTCGAGTAGGTACTAGAACGATTCTGATTTTTTTAAATTGTAGTAACCGAGGAATTAGATTTCCATATCGTGTCCTACTTAGGCAATACTCAGTATCGTACTCCACATGCAATATAATTTGGAAATCAAGTCGTTATCCATCGCACTTTATACTAAATATTCTATTTCCCATTTCAAATAGAAATAAGTTTCTTCAAAACCGAATTTTTCCGCACTGTAGCATCTGTTGAGACCCAGCACTTTTCTTTTGTTGTATTTACTTCTCGTTCATCTCTTCACAAGTTATTATTGAGGGAAGCAATCGACGTAGCGATTTTTCACATAGGCGGATCTTCAATTTGCTTTTATGAGAGCACATACTTACCTACAGTTTAAATTTCACAAATATGTAATTTAGGTACTTTGCACATGCGCGAAAGCGACTTTTGTATGTTTACTAATCTGCTTCTGTTAAAAGATCGGCCCCAAAATGAAAATGTTACCTCTACACATTCGCGAGCAATTAAATAATGAAAGTAGGAGATTGATGCCCCTTCAAAGTCGAAGCAAGGAATTGAGCCCCATCCCTTGTAGCAGAACTAGGTGTCACCCCTCAGATGTGGACCCATGCCTTTTCCAGGTGCAGCCAGAGTATAAGCATTGTTTAAATACTTTATTTAAACAATGGCATAAGTTACGCCTAATAATAAACATGGTGGAAGCTCTCTCACCAGGTCCTTAAATCTGACCTTAGGACATACAAACCGCATAAATACTTTAATAAATATATCACAGAACGTATATACAAACAACTTATTTATATACAAATAGGTTTCTTGGCAAAAGTTTCACCATAAAACAAGTCTACGCCACAAGTTCCTCACACGCAGACTTGATGTCTGGGTAAAGGTAATTAAAACCAACAGCTTGTGTCCTTCTGGGTAACACCTTTTGCCCTTCAGTAATCAATTTGGCTCTCTCCTTACTGAAGATGGCATTAAGTATACTAACAGGAAGAGGAAATAAAGCAGGTCGCCACAATGCCTTCGCATACACCTGAAACCAATTCCTATATTCAATTAAAATCACTTTTAACTAATTACATTTGTAAATTCTTTGTTAGTGATTACTTGTGGAGCGACACCATTAAGTATACCACTAACTCCATCTTTCTCTATGGCAAAAACAATCAGCCTTGCGAGGTCTTCTACGTGAATCCACGGTAAATATTGACTTCCCGAACCGACAGGTCCTCCAAGTCCTAAATAAAACGGCAAGTACAACTGCTTGATCATTCCACCATCTTGTCCTAAAACAACACCACTTCGAATGGTAATCTGCCGGCACAGAGTGATATACTCGGGCAGTTTGGCCGCTTTCTCCCATTCTATGCCCAACTTTGAAAAATAATCAAACTCGCTCGTCACATCATCCTCCACATATTCCTTGGATGTGCCGGGTTCGTATATACCGACCCCGGAGATGGCGACAAATGACTTAGGTTTGTCAGTGGCATCAACAATCGCCTTAGATAGCGCCGCCGTAGTTCGCACGCGAGAATTCCATACGTTCTGTTTGAAGCCTGTCGTCCACCGTTTCGTAGGATCTAAAACGTTCTGACCGGCGACATTGACAACTGCAGTTGTTCCTGTGGGAAGACCGTGATGTTCGAGATCATGCCATGTTATTCGATTGGGGCCTGGCATGCGAGATATTATTTTTACATGGAAATTTTTGTTACGTAAAAGTTTACAAACATGTGATCCAATAAAACCTGTGCCTCCTCCTGCGTAAATTTCGGCTAAAGAGTTACTGCTACACCTAATAGGGATAATTACAAACCAACAAGGACGCTGTTCCTTATAACACTCATGTTCTTGCAACTTGCAATTGCGAGCCAGCGACGGGTTTTGGATCAAAATATTTATCAAAGGTATTTTTGACAGTAGTTCATTATAATAAGGAAGTAGTTTATTTGAACTGAAAAAAATCTCTACAGTACAAATAAACTAACACTGGGCAGGGTCGTAGTCAGGGATGTGCCTTGGCACATATAGCATTGTATGTACAGTGCAAGGTGACTAATGACGTTGTTTCTCATATGTCTATGGCGGCACTCCGACCTACAACGCTCTCCGGTTTCGTATGCTCGTTGCGTACCCTTCAGTCGTAGGTTTGTTTTACTACAGAGTTATATTGGAGATGCAGCGTTTTTAGCCAATATAATATTTAATTCGATATTTTTTATGTTGGAATTCATACAGTGTGTTAGTTTTACACATCTATTGTCATTTGAATATACTGGAAGGACTACGTTTGTATAAATTAACTACAAAATGAGTATTTAAAATTTGTCCGCCTGATTAGAGGCAACACAGTGTACACTTCCTTTTAAGTGTATAATCTTTTACTGCTTTTTCGTTATCGTAACATAATCTGCGGTATATGTTTCTTTTCTTATCCGAATCCTTATACGAAAACGATCGGAGTGCCGCCACCGTTTGATACAGTGTATGTTTTATTTGACAGTTCTATTGTTTGTTTCACGAGTTTGTTTACATAAGAACCTACTACACAGACTTTTTGGCATCCTCAAAAAGATTGTTTCTTAGCAGATCCATAATATTTTGATTTTGAGTTACAGGCAGTTTTAAATAAACATAGGCAGAAAAATGTAGTTTGCAGAGTTTAACCCTAATTACGGCTCTGCTCATAGTTGCATTTCCTATCTTTGTCCGACTAGTTGCGCACATTTCAATTACGTTAAACAGAAAAGGACAAGCTAAACCTAAACTAAAAGCCCTTTGCCCTTTTGGTAGGCACAGGTGGTGTGTTGTGTACAGTGTACATTACAGACGGATTTTAATAATCATTTTAGGTACAGAGTGGAGTTGCGCCTTTGTAATTGTCTTAGACAACCTCTTCTTCCCCACAATTACCTTCGAACTAACTACAACAGGTAGGTACATTGATAGTGTACTGTGAACAAATTTTCTGTTCCAGACTCCTCTGGAAATGGCAGGTTCTGCTTTACGCCGCCTTATGGCCGAATACAAACGTAGATTTAACTCATTATTAATCGGATATTTTTCAACAATCATTTTTAGAACTAACCCTAAATCCACCAGAAGGAATTATCGCTGGTCCAATAAACGAGGAAAACTTTTTCGAATGGGAAGCGCTGATTACGTAAGTGTAGCCTCTTCCCCAGCTTTTTAATACTTCGATTGTGTACTGTCTAGAGGCCCGGAGGGTACCTGCTTTGAGGGTGGCGTATTCCCTGCAAAGTTGATATTCCCGTGCGATTATCCATTAAGCCCGCCAAAAATGCAATTCACATGTGAAATGTTCCATCCTAATAGTGAGTGTAATTGATATAGACAGTAAATGTAAGTGTCATTTTAGTATACTCGGATGGTAGAGTTTGTATTTCCATTCTTCATGCGCCCGGTGATGATCCAATGGGGTACGAATCAAGTGCCGAGAGGTGGTCGCCTGTTCAAAGTGTCGAAAAGATATTGTTGTCGGTCGTTAGTATGTTAGCAGGTATATCTCTTGTGTGTCGAAGTTGTTAGTGACAATCATGGTAATGTTAGATAGTAATATTATTATTCAATTTTCTGGAATTGCTCTAGTTTACATTGATTGGGTAGTACTAGTACCAGAATGTGGGAAGCCAAGTGGAAACAACCACGGAAAGTACTATACTGCATTCATTATAAGAAGGTAGTAGATGGCGCTGTGTTTGAAGATCGACACACACAGGAAAAATTAAAACGGCACAAAATTTGAAAAATATAAATATAAATGAAACGATATCACACTTGGATCTTTGAAACTGACAATTCGACAGTTTAGTTCGTAATTGAAACTTCTAACAGACAGAATTTGTCACTAGTTTTATTTTTCAGGGTAATACTGACTCTTGTTTTAACCAATCACAGTGAAGGTCAAACTGTCCCTATGCTTTCTACTGCTACCTTCTTAAAATGAATACTGTATAGTACAGGCTGTCACGGAAACAACGCCTGTATGTGTACAATAGCTTTGTGCATAATGCCGAACCATCGTCACTTTGATATCAACCAATGTAAACTAGGCTTAAGAAAAGCGCCATTGCCATCTTAACACTTAACATGATTGTCTCGACACAGTAACTTTTTTTTTGTGAAAGTTATATTTCAGAACCAAATGATGAAAGTGGAGCGAATGTGGATGCAGCTAAAATGTGGCGGGAAAATAGGGACGAATTTAACAAAATTGCTGACCGTATAGTCAGGAAAACGCTAGGAATACATTTACGAGAGTAGTTTCAGACCATATGAAGCCTGTGATTTGTTACTTGATTAATCCGTTATAAACATCTCCTTTTTTAATTAGAAGTCTGTTAATGACGGCTTTTTTTGTTATCTTTTAAAAACTGGAATTTAGATTGTGATTAAAATTGCCTATACTAAATAAAGTATAAACTTGCTTGTTTCACAATAACTTTACAATTTCCTGCTTTTTCCCTTGATACTGTCCATGGTACAACTTTCTTCAATAATTGTCTAACCTCATTTTTTCATGTTTTACTAAAATTAGGAGGTATAACTCCGGCGTTAGGTCACCGTGTAAACATACTTTATGTCTAAGGTCTACCGTACTAAAATCAAGTTGCTGCGATCCGATTAATTTTAAGTTATATTACCTACAGCAGTTATTTCTATGAAGGTATCTTAAAAATGATATTTGAATTGGAGCTGTACTTTTTTGTCAAAAATTATTTAGTCGTAAAAATGCAAATTTCATTCAATCATAAGTCCGATTCTATAAAAGATAGTGTTCAAATTTTATAACTAGTTAAATTAAATCATAATACAGATATTATATATATATTATGTGAAATGTTAATTAATTTTAGTTAATTAGTAAAAAACTTAAAAAAAAGTGATTTTGAAATTTTTCTATACACTAACGTCTGTAGTATCTGTACAATTGAAATCGTTTATGATTATTAATTATCCTTTGTTTAATTTTGAATTTCTCTTGAAATGCATTAAATCCCGCCTATATATTCAGGCTAATAGTATTGCGCCTTCCACCACCCACGGGATGGGTGGATTTACTAAAAAATGAGTTATAAAACTAATACCCTATCGAAAGGCGAAATTGTATTTGATAAAATGGAAGCAAATAAAAACAGGTTGCATTTCGTAAAAATATTTAATAACACAAACTGAAATGAAATTTTATTAACAATATTTCTTTAATAAATATCTAAATAATTACAGATATTTACACTGAAAGGTATTTTTATACATCTTACACCTAATATGTACAAAACAATTAACATAACTACGTATTCCTAATATAGAAAACAATCACAGATATATTTAATTAAATACACAATGGCTTTAGATTTCTTTATCATGACCACTTACAAATACACTAAAAATTAAAACTGGGCGAAATCTGCAAGTAAAATTAAACAATTTTCGTACATGAAAATAATCCATCATCCCATTAAAATTAAAACTGAGTCTATGATCATAAAAAATGGTTGCACTACAATAAAAAGTGTCCTTATAGAAGAATATATCCCTCCGTAAGGTTACCCCACATTGCACCTTGAATGTACTGTAAGTAGTAAGAAATTTGAAAGCACATTGTTCACATTTTAATTAATTTGTATTCATAAGATCTGAAGAAACAGCACTTGGGTCTAAGTCGGGCCCTCCGGGTGGTACTGAAATCCTCTTCTCGGCCGACCTGAAATAATAATTGTTTGGTAGAAAATGGTATGCAATTATTAGACAGCTCACCTCTGCCTCTTCTTGGCACCGTCCGCGACAACGAAGAAGGAATATACGTATGCATGGCGTCATACGAATATGGAACACCTATTACAAGATTTTATTAGAACTACTCCATACAGTAGGTTTAGGCAATTTTTTTTAAACATCTTAATACAGGGTGTTTTTTGGGAGCTTTAGTTAAACGTTTCTGGGAAAGTAAAATAGGTAGGTTTTTGAAAATTTGTACTTAGGAGTTACTCTGAAGGCCAAATCGATGTAATTTTCAAAATGGCCCCACTTTCGGAAACACTGGAAGTAGATAGTAACTTCGTTATTTTAAATGGCAACCCCTATTTTTTATTGCATTTTTGGATTCTACGTGAAATTTCGGTTCTTTTGATATCCACATGTCGATATCTGCGATTTATCGTTTTTAAGTTATTTTGACTTTAAGAAAAAAAATGGCGGATGCAGATGGTACCTTGATAATTGATTACTTGAAAACGGTTGTAGTCATGGCAACCTATTTTTATCAGTGCATAGAGAATGAATAGGGATTTCTTTTAGTGTACTTAAAAAAAAGTTAAGTTGCGTACGACCGCCCCTATGGAGATCCAAATTTAAGAAACTTCAAAGTCTATAAACTCAGTTTTTTTTTAATGAAATGACCATGTTTTTACTATTGCATGAGGTAGAGAATCGAAATTGGCATATTTTGATATTACATGTTCCTGTAGCTATCTTTAACAGTTTCTGACTTATTCCCATTTTATTAAATTGACACTATTTTTTTTGGATTTTGTTTTTAGTAGTCGGCCATGATTTTATAACAATCGAATTTTAAACAAATCTAGTGACACTAATCCGACTTTGAAGTTTCTTAAATTTGGATCTCCATAGATGTGGTTGTACGCAATTTAACTTTTTTTAAGTACACTAAAAGAAAGCCCTTATTCATTCTCTATGTACTGATGAAAATGGGTTGCCATGACTATAACCGTTTTCAAGTAATCAATTATCAAGGTACCAGTGGCTGGTGTTCGGGAAAAGGGGTATAAGTCCAATTTTGGGTAAAATGAGATAAGTGTGTCATATACTTCAAAATGTAGAATTCTTTGCATGAGAAAACGGGTATAAGTCTAGCTTAATCCTATCCAAGGAATTTATATAGTGTTGAGGGGTATAAGTCGATTTGCAAAGGATTCTTGTGTGTAAAGTGATGTAAGTGCACTTATGTCTATACATTGAGCCCACAATGTTTGTGAAAAGTGGTATAAGACGACTTATTACCATATACGCTATAATGTTGTTTTGTGAAAAAGGTGATATGTAGACATGTAGGTACCTATTTTTCCCACTATCGCACTTAAATAATAAAACCATTTTTATGTCCTTTGGATGTATGGAGGAACATAAAATGGCTCAGATATTCTAGGAATCCTGGTTTGGTAGACAAGACAAAATTAGATAGGGAGGAACCATTTCGATGTATGTTTTTAAGAAAAACTAACCCAATTGCTGATTCCGATTGAGAAAACGAGAATTATGATGGCGAAAATTAATGCTAATATTAGTGTAAAAGGGTACTTGTTGAGTTTAAAAAAAATTTTTTTTGAGAAAAAGGGAACAATTTGATTTTTTTTATTATGTAATCATTTTATACATGTAAATTTATGTTTTATGTAAACTAGAGTGTCAATAAAAGCGTTTAATAAAAAAAATTAGATCTCAAACTTATTTAAAACAACAAAACATAATTATTACTCTCAGGGCCGCCGAGAGCCGATTCGGGCCCCGGGACTGTTCAGCACTTCGGGCCCTACTAACCTTTCAAAAAATGTTTGATACACCAAATAATATTTATATGTAAAATATGTCGTAACGTAACTTGTAAAGTGATACTTATTTGATGACGATGACCTAATGACTCAAACTCAAATAAAACAACGAATTCGCAAAATTAAAGTAAAGGTATTTTAATGTAGGAGACGGCGACTAAATTAATTCATATCTTAACTAGAACTGAGTCATGAAGATCATGTTTCCAAGCATTGCATTCAAGTTCAAGTTCACTTGCACTTTTTGCTGTGAATAACATTTTTGGCCAGTATCAGTCTTTGTAGGTATAAAAAGTTAAAAACAACTCGAAAAAGTGTTACGAGCCAGAAAAAGCAGATATTAAGCTTAAGCCCTAATAAAAGCACTAAATTCCAAAAAAAGCATAAAAAACTGTATTACACCTATTTTTGTTCAGATTCGTTCTTAATTGTTATAATTTTTTCGTGCTATCATCCATCATAAAAAATATCCTAATGGCTAGAAATAATCTACCCCGAAGTCAAGCGAATCATCTCGCATTTGGCCTTTGGAGCAATATACAAATGTTCTCGAAATGAAAGTTTGATAACATCTGGTTATAAAATTAAAATGTACTTATGTAAAAATAGAAATGCAACATCCGACGTGCTGATTTATTTTTGCAGATTCACTTCGTGATTACCTAGGTGGGCACGTGCCCTTTAAGCACCAGCCACTCCGAATAACAAAATATGCAACTTGTGAAAACGCGTCGTGCGGCGCGTCTGGGTCCATCCGGGCCCCTAGACCGACCGGGCCCCGGGAATTAGTCCCGTCTGCCCCCCCCTCTTGTCGGGCCTGATTACTCTTACGAAACTTTAAACCCGTTTTTCTCGAATATGACATTTTCGTCTTATCCCCCTTCTCCCGAACACCAGCCATCTACATCCGCCATTTTTTTCATAAAGTCAAAATAACTTTAAAAACCATAAATGGCAGATATCGACATGTGGGTATCAAAAGAACTGAAATTTCACGTAGAATCCAAAAATGCAATAAAAAAAACGGGTTGCCATTTGGAAGTGCAGCCATTTTGAAAATATTTTACATCGATTCGGCCTGCAGAGTAACTCCTAAGTACAAATTTTCAAAAACCTACCCATTTTACTTTCCCAGAAACGTTTAACTAAAGCTCCCAAAAAAAACACCATTAATCAACAATACTCATTAGCAGTAATATTTACCTGATACATAGTTTCTGTGGGACGAAGCATTATTACTAGCCGTGGTTTCATAATTGTAACGGAAACCTTAAAACACAAATGGTTTTGATTAGAATTTTTAAACTAATTTTCTCTTCAATTAATAATTAATAACATAAACTTCTTTTCCATAATTACGAAAGCCAGACGATTCCGGTGAGAGAATTGTTAATTTCTTCTAGTATATTATATCAAAATTAAAATGCAAAATAAAAGTTATTTATCGATAATTAAATTACTATTCATAAATTAAATAAATTTTTTGTTCGATAACTGCGATAGAATCTTGCATCCTGTTCTGTCGGTTTCTTCAGAGTGATGATTCATAAGTGGAAATAACATGCAGTAAAATTTGAAATACACTTGGATTTGTACAAATGGAATGCAATGCACGGTTAATGTAAAAAAAATCTCTGTAAGCTTGAAATTACGTTTAAACATTCATAAACATCAATAAATAAAACAAATAAATATCACAGGCTAAAATGATAATACTGTTACTGATTATATCAGGCTTCTATCGAAAATGCTTTAAAAAATGAATTTCTTGTCTGACAGGAATTGTTGAAAAAATTCTTTCGTTTTCGCGTGCTGCTTCTTTTTTTCTTTCTTTTGTTTCTTCGCATTCTTCATGATTATCTGATGCTCCTCTTCTTTTTTAATCGTAGCGCAGTCTTGACTTAAATTGGGGTAAGTGGTAACATTATTGAAAGGTACAATAAACGGAGGGAAAGAGTAGTAAGGGGCGCAAGGTACGTTAATAAACGGCAAAGGCACATTATTCATATGGTAATTAATGGTTGGGTTGTTGTAAGTGTGATTGTTAATATTGAATTGGTCTGTGATAATAGGAGTGGGTTCGGAGGAATTTTTGTTATATACTAGGGGTATGGGAGGCATTTCTTTACGTTCAGCGGCCGTTTTAAAGGATCTATTATTTTTGGCGCAATTTTGAGTTAAGGCTTCGATTTCCGCAATGCTAATCATAGGAGTGGCGGGGTAACTGATTTCCTCCTTGAAGGGAACAGGTTCGTTCACTTTCGGAAGTAACCTGCGCTTCTTAAGAGGTAGCGTAATTTCGGTTTCGCAATTCTTATCATCGAATAATTTCTCAAGTTCATCTTTACTTAATAGTTCCTCTAAATCGTCCTTATAATTAATGTAAGAATCTGCAACGGGATTGGATACAGGACTTTTCGTCGGCAGAGTCGCATCTGGAGTGGAGTAAAAGTTGGAGTTATTGGAAAGTAATGTGATTTCTTTATGAATGGTAATATCTGGTTCAACTGTATTATCTAAATTATCGATCAAACATTGTTGAACAATTTGGTCTGTGTTTTGAAGCAATTTAGGCGATCTCGAAAACTCCGATTCTGGAGTATCAAGTTCAGTTAGTGCATTTACAGTAGACGAAACGCTTAAATTTAGAATTCCAGAATTACTGGAATCGTTAAATTGATTTTGTTGCTGACTATTAAAATTCTGCTTCCGTTCCATGGAATTGTTACGTTGAAGACCATGTACTACAGATAAAACAATACTTGTAATTATATTGAAACGACACATGGAAACATTTACATAGTTCACGCGGACAAACCTAAAAAGAATACACTCGCCAACGAATGTTTGCGAAGTTAACTATTATTTCTAGGTTTGCTTTTACCTTGGAGTTCCGTACGGTAATTCGAGTTCGCAGAAAATTTTGTTTTCAACCAATTGTGTGAGTTCGGTTTGCATGGGGTGCCAATAATAATTTTAGTACCTAAATGCATTCTATGACTTACAGAAAAAATGATTCAATTTGATTTATTTACGAAAATTGTTAAACTGGCAGATAATGATACTATTTTAAAAACAAGCATTTGTGCATTTCAAACAGTAACATTTTGAGTAAAGTATCACGAAACATACAACTTGCCCATTTGCCAGTTCAAATCTTCACAAAATTGGAGAGAAATTTTAAACAAGTGCGTGGAATGTATTGGTGCTTTTGTTTTACTTCTTGGGGAAATTGATTCGTGCGTTGTTACTTTGTTGAATAAAGCACTAGAATGTACATGCATTTTTGCGAATTGTTTTTGATCTGTATAAGGAAGCACGAACCCTCAAGAAAAAATACACCAGTGGCGTATCAAAGTTGCATTTTTTTAAATGGAACACCCCACATTTTATTACTGATTTGGAGAGTACTTGAAAAGTACTTATTTTTGTATGTAACATGTTATACCCCTAACTTTAACAGTTTCGCTGTTATAACCTTTTTTCTTCAAAATTTGAGTCTTTCGGAATTTTTTTTGAGAGATACTAAATCGCGCAGGCGGCTAATTTTTGATCTGAGGCGCAGGTTAAAACCTCTTCCACAATCACTAAATTTTTTTAGGTACTTTATCGAAAAAATGACATTTTTGATTGATCTTCGCTAAATGTCATATTTTTTAAAAATTTCAAATGACACTCCCCTAACCAAATTATACCTCTGGGTAGTCAAAACTACAAATTTTCCACTGATATAAACAAAACCACACATTCCATAAGAACATTTCAGTGAAATGGCCTTATAACCCGATCCGCCATCATAATTTTTCGTTAACCTCATCTAACAAGTTTATTGGATTACTCATGTCATGTATTAAACAAAAGTTAAAACCTGACAGCTTTATGTAAAGTGTTTTATCGTGCACCATATTTCCATTGTCTAGACCAGTTAATTTGGAATTAATTTGACTTATCTGTAAGTACTTTCTTTCTTATGCCTTTCTTGAAATCTCTTGAATTGTTTGATTTTTTTATTTGTCCGTTTTGTACCCATTTGAATCCCTATAATATAATGGCCGTGGCGATGGTGGCTATGCGAGACAATAAATGAATGAATTTGGTTTCAATCACAATCGGTAATGGAATTATTGCCATAAGAAATACATTGGTAAACTTTGAGGCTAAAATGCAAAGTTAATTTTCAAATGAAATATTAAGTGTTTAGTATCACTTGTTTTGTAACTTTTTTTTCAATCGAATGACATTAAAATCCAATATGGCGTCCATAAGAAATAAGAAAGTTGATGTGATTTACTCAAAATTCACGATGATAAAAATTTTATTTTAGCACCATCAGAAAGCTGAGAAAAAATTACTTTAAAAACTTGTTAAAACTATTTTTTGATATCTCAGAAAATAAATAAACGTCAGTGCAGTTTAAAAAATTATATTTTTGGTTTTTTCGTTTGTACCGGGTGACCCAATAAGACTGTTCCTCGGCCATATCTCGGGAGCCATTCGTCGTATGACTTAATGGTAAAAAAAATTATTGGGTAAATCGGTTATGAAGAATCGCTGGAAAATATTTTCAAGTTCTAAAAATGACCGCCAGAGGGCGTAACTGCCATCTGAAATTTTAAAATTGCATTTTCTTTAAATTTCGCATAATAAACTAAATATTCTTTTTAATATATAATATATTTTAATAAATAAATAAATAAACTTCTTAACCGTTTGACCCTAGGGTTTGACCGATTGTAACAAAATTGGTATCGTTGAAAAGAGCATTCTTTGGGCAACAAGAATCAACCAAAATATAGTTAATTTAGTTGAATTCTCCGCTAGGGGGCTAGTTTTGACACGATTCAACTAAATTAACTATATATATTGGTTGATTCTCATTGCCCAAGGAATGCTCTTTTCAACGATACCAAATTTGTTACAATCGGTCAAACGGTTAAGAAGTTAATTCAGGTTATCGCAAAAACAATAGAACACCCCACGCCATCTTTGTTTTTGAAAAAACTGAGTTTTTGTTTTTACGAAAATGATGATAAACTGGTTCTCTTTAAAAATGTGAAAAAAGAATGTTTAGTTTATCATCCGAAATTTAAAGAAAATGCAATTTTAAAATTTAAGATGGCAGTTACGCTCTCTGTTGGTCATTTTTAGAACTTGCAAATATTTGCCAGCGATTCTTCATAACCGATTTACCCAATAATTTTTTTTACCCCTAAGTCATATGAAGAACGGTTCTCGAAATATGGCCGAGGAACAGTCTTATTGGGTCACCCGGTACAGTTGCAAGTAAAGGGAACCTTATCTACATAAAATTCCGCAATTCCTTGCCCATTTAAGTGACTTTGTATGGTTTACAAGATCCCCATACTAAATATTGGACAAACTCACTCTGTATGTAAAAGGGAACAAGAAATAAACAATAACAACTATTTGCAAACAATATCTTTAAGCAATGAAATGAAAGTTACCGAATGTTAAAAAGTACCCCATGTGAGAAGGAAGATAGAATAAATATTGTTATGTAAACCTTGTATTTTGTTTATTTTATTGTTCAGTGACATTGTTAAAAAATTAGAGACATCTGGAAGTAATTTATTGTGTTTTATTTTAAAAGTTTATCTCTGGTCTTGCGATAAGAAGTTCCTTATCGCCGCGTACAAGCTAATTAAGTTGAAGATAAGCGAGAAGTAAGCACAGACGTGAGTTGATCGACGACGCGCAGTAATTTGATAAAGAGAACGGAGCGGAAGGGTGAAGCGGACCTTAAACGGGCTTTTTGTTGTTTGGCGGTCAGTCTTAATGTTTTTTCTTGTAAAAGACAGTCAGTCTTGGTGGTTGCTATAATTCAAGTTCAGCTCAATCGTCGTTTATGTTACGGAGAAGTAGTTTGAGTTTGTGTCTATCGTGTGTTTATCGCTTAAGTGAAGCCTTTTTATAAGGTTTTCAAATACCTGTGAACAATTTGCAATTGCAAAATGGGCCAGTTGTATCGTTTCCCCTACCTTATTTACACTCAAAAACCGTTACTTATCAATGGTAAAAGTGGACCCATTGTTTTTAAAATAGTATTATTATCTACCAGTCTAAGTGAAATGATGCGCCAAATTGGTTATTTGAAATTTCAAATATACATTTAATAATGACACCAATGTTTGTATGTACATACCTGATGTGTAGCCATTCACTGCCGGAGTATACCCAGAAGGTATACCTTCCACTGTCGAATTTAAATTATTATGTATAAGATTTGAAACTGAGTGTCTAATTTCCGGAGGAGAAATAACTGTGCCGTTCACTTGTTTATAATCCACACGTTTGATTGTGTATTTGTTATCGGTATTATTAGAATTATACAGTTTACTTCGCAGCTTTAGCACTTCTTCTTTTTCTTTCAACTCGTGCATAGACTCGATTCGTATCGGTACTTGTGGTTGAAGAAACACCAACTTTGTATCGTCCTTTGAAATTTTATACCGGGCTAACGAATCTTTGGCCTCTGACAGAATGTCATTTTCGATCAGGGGCAGTCCGTCGAAACGTACCTTCTTGGGTACATGCGGTTTAATCTCCTTTTCGTCAACTTCACCTAGCTTTTTCTTTCTATCGGTAGGCACCGTAATGATCGTCTTGTGCGGCTCTGTCCGGATAACCTCCCCGTTCTTTCTGGAGCTTAAGTAGCGGTCCAAGTGGATTTGATAGTCCCGCGTGTTGATTTGTTCGAAAGGGGGGGACGTTGGCGAGTTTTCCGGAAAAGGACGACAAGGCGAGATTGCGCATCCTAAACTGTCATTGGAATTTGAGTGCTCTGCGGAATTTACCAAGATACGCATGGGTTCGATCGGGCCCGAGCAGGCATTTTCCACTAGTTCCGATTGCAACTGTTCAAATTTCGAAAATAAAGCTAAAGGGGCACTAAGTTTTTCACTTGACGTGAAGATTATTTTATCAATAACCTGTTTAGGCTCCAGATTTGCGTGAAAATCACTTTTACTACCACCTGTCCGTGTATCATCAATCAGATCGTCGCAATTAGCACTAGGTCCTTTGGTAGCGTCATCAACACAAGTTTGAGGAGTAGATTTAAACAAAGACGAATCAAGCGATTGTTCCTCAGTAGAAACTATATCGGCCAAAATGTCCCCAGACGAATCTTCACAGACCGCATTTAAATTGATATCCGAAATATTAATAGACTCGGGCAGTTCTAAATTCTGATCGAGTTCCACCTGTAATTCCTCCAAATTTTCGGGAGATTCGTAATTTTCGTAACTTTGGCTCTCCTCGTGTCTTTTATTCTCATTGTCTTCTGCAGCCGCGTCTTCGTACGAAGAACTCTCTGCAATTAGAGGAAGGTTTTCAAAACCGTCGTAACAGATCGAATCAATTCGCATGATGTCGGGTACGTAAACGTTTTTCGCACCAGTAACAACATCATCGCTTGTTCGATCGGATTTAGGGGGCGTAATTAAACCGTGCATTAAATTATAGCCGCCATTCGGAAGACACTTTTCGGCGTTTTGGGTGCAATCGAGATTGTCGGTGCATTCCTGCTCGGTATCTGAACTGGGACCTATATCGGCGGGCTCATTCTCTTCGGATTTGTCGTTAATATCAGTTTCGGCTTCGGTCTGAATTTCCGCAACACTATCACTTGAAATGTGAGATTCACTTTCTTTTGTTTCCACGGCCTCACTTTCCTTCTCGGCATTTTCCGTTTTATCTTCCACTGTCGAAGGCATGGATAACTCTAAAAACTCATTAGTAATCGTATCGGCGGACGTACAAGTCTCTTCCATTCGTTGCGCTTTGTCCAATTCATTTTCATCGAAATTTGTTTCGGCGCTTTGGAATTGATCGTCCGACGCTGGCGAACGTTCTGTTTCGATAGAATACGGTGGAGATTCCAGTGTTGAAATCGTTTTATTTGGAATGGCGATTAAATCCAAGAATGACAAGCCCGGACTCGGCAATGGTAAGTCCGGTGGTTTTTTCCTGGTGCACTTTTCTTCACTGGGTGATACCTACACACAAGTAATGTGGTCAAATTTTTAAAAAGATTATTCTTATAAACATGACTGCTCACCGTGACTTCACAATCCGAATCGTCATCTAGGCAAATGATACTGTTGGAAGCTTCCGTCTTAATGTTGTCATCATCAACGAGTATTACTGCATCCGAGTCTTGAAGCTAGTTATACAACAATATAGCATTATGAATTCGTCTAAAAATGTTTACAAGAGATTTTTACATAAAGTAAGCAAATTAGGGACCGGACTTATATGCATGAAAACACGTCAAAAGTGCACATATACAGGGTGTTTTTTTGGGAGCTTTAGTTAAACGTTTCTGGGAAAGTAAAATACGTAGGTTTTTGAAAATTTGTACTTAGTAGTTACTCTGAAGGCCAAATCGATGTAAAATATTTTCAAAATGCCCGCACTTTCGGAAAAAACGAAGTAGATAGTAACTTCGTTATTTTAAACATCAACCACCAGTTTTTTTAATTAGATTTTTGGATTCTACGTGAAATTTCAGTTCTTTTGATACCCATATATTGATATCTGCCATTTATCGTGTTTAAATCATGTTGACTTTAAGAAAAAAATGGCGGATACAGATGGTACCTTGATGATTGATTAGTTGAAAACGGTTGCAGTCCTGGCGACCTATTTTTATCAGTGCATAGAGAATGCTTTCTTTTAGCGCACTTAAAAAAAAGTTAAGTTGTGTACGACCGCCCCTATGGAGATCTAAATTTATGAAACTTCAAAGATTCAGTCTTTTTAAATGGAATGACCATTTTATTACTATTGCATGAGATAATAGTAGGAGAGCTGGTAGACATTTTTGGGTAAGTATTTGAGGCACGCTGAAAACTTGTCCACCACTTCTTCAATAACACCCAAACACAGAAATGCAGACCTGGCAGAGGAGAAGCGGGGCTAACACCTTACCAGGCGCCTTCAAAATTTGAAAAAAGAATGTATGCCCAGTCGAGTATCTGAATGCGTAATAAGTAGTGGATGATCTACACATTATTAGTGTCGTCTGAATTAATTGTAATTGTATCATTTTGAAATTTTCATAGTTTCTTATGCCGAAATAAATACAATTCTCCTGAAACTTTCGTCAAAAGTGATCAAAGTACACTAGGTGCTCATGTATTTATTGCGGCCAGTATACACTTCAAATCAGGAATCCCTTGGCCCTGCGTCATTAATTTGTCAATCAATTTCAGATAAGTTTTTTAATCGATTTCGCATACTTGATAGTTATTGCAGCGTTTTAGCGTATGTGTGCATATGTCTGAAATTGATTCACAAATCAATGACATTATTTTTTTCAAACTTTGAAGGCCCCTGGCAAAGTGTTAGCCCCGCCACTCTTCACCCAGGTCTGCATTTCTGTGTTTGGGTATTATTGGAGAAGTGGTGGACAAGTTTTCAGCGTGCCTCAAATACCTACCCAAAAATGTCTACCAGCTCTCGGACTATAAAGAATCAAATGGGCAATATTTTGATAATACATGTTCCTATAGCTATCTTTAACAGTTTCTGACTTATTCACATTGCATTGAATTGACACTATTTTTTCGGATTTCTTTTTATAGTTAAGTGGCCAAACCGCAAAACGACTTTGTTTATTCTTCTAACGGCATTTTATTTTTATTCTTATTCTTATTCTAACGGCATTTTATGAGCCATTTTGGCCACATGGTTTTTTAGATGTAAAAAAATTGTGCTGAATCCAATCTGGATGTTGCCAGGCCGAATTTGCACTAGTTCACAAAACAGCACGATGGCGCCACTATCTATTGTTGTGGACTATTTAGTAAAATTGTTTTCCGTAATTTATTTTATTACTTATATACGTAAGAGGAAAATATATCCTGTGGTGATATAGGGTGTCCCAAAAAAGCTGTGTATTAATTAAATTAGTGTTTTACATTTTCCTCGCCAAATTTTATTTGTTATTAAATTTTGTGCTTTTTAATAACCGTTGGTAAGTATTTTGGTTTTTTCCAACTATCAGAATGAAAATTTATAATAAGTACCTACAATTAGGTACTAATATAAATGTCAAGTATATCCAAAATTCACGTGTTTTCTATTCTTAGGGGTTTTTGTTTGTATGTCATACTTTTATTTATTTATTTACTATTTAATTCCAACAGCAACAATGCAAACATACACATAATATAAAGTATATACATTTTGGTACCAAATATAGATATTAAGGTTTGGATTTAGAGAGTATAGGCAACTGGTGATGCACATGTAATTCAATGGGGCGTGCATTGCCTCTGAACTTCATTCACCATTCCATAAGCAAGGGGTGTATATGATCGGAAAAATATGCATTAGGTAGATAGATGTACAGAGCATAGTTTCCATACAATATAAACTGATATTTTGTCCATTAATATATGTTTAAAAAATCCAGAAAACATGCGTCAAAAGAGTTCATAGTTTAGGAATTAATTGCAAAAATTAGGGAGCATTTTAAGCAATACGGGTGTATGGGATCGGTAGCGTGAATACTTATCTATATTTTGGCAATTCATGTGAAGCTCAAAAGTTTTCATAAAAAAAGTGGTGAATGAAGTTCTGAAAAATGGGCATGTAAACTGGAGAAATGGAAATAAACTACGCAGCTGTGACTAATATCGCGGTCAACAGTGTAGCTTCTTTCTCACAGAGGGTGCCACCAAGAGTTTATTGAAGTCAGTAAAAAATACGATAAATAAAGATATGAAATAGGTAAGCGCTTTTACCTTGCGATGGAGTTGTTCTTACTTTTTAACTAGGCTAGTACTAGTACTGTGTAATGGGGATAATAAAAGACCAAAAATTTACGAGCAAAAAAAAACTAGCAGGCTATGTAAGTTGCCTATGCTAAATCATTTAGCGATTCTCTTTCAAGGTTGAACAGAGCGTGCGTGTAATAGAATTTGCTGACAGTAAGAAAAAGATCGTTCACTGGTATATTTTTATTTTGTCAACTACTTGCTTCGAAATTTATTTGGTTTCTCTTTCCTATTCATTGCAAAAGGTACCTCCTCTACCTATCGTTTTATGAAATAAATAATAGAAATGGGGATAGGTAACATGTAACATTCCTTTACAACAAATATCAAAATTTTACGTAATTTTTAGAACAAAGGGCTGTTGTATATTGTTGTTGATGTCTGGCAAGATGCGACCTTGTGTGGGTGTTTATTTGTAATGCGATTTATTTGACCGTCTTCCCTATTCTTTATCTTTGCTGATTGCAGATTAAAATACTGTAATTTATAATCCATACCTTGTTGCAAATTAAATTTTTTGAACTTCAATAGTTCCATTGAATAAAGCTCTTTATTCAATGATAGTACCTATTACATATTAGTATTAGTTTAGTCAGTTTAGTGTAATGTGTAATAATTGACCTATACAGGGTGATTCAAATTCAAAGGCCACCATGGGGATCTCGGGAACTGTAAGAGATAGGTAGAGGTAGTTTACATTTGACAAAGTTACCCTTGATGGTAACATCATCTATTTTTAATAAGAAATAACGTTAATTCGTAAAAACGCAAGAAACTACTTACGTACGTTACTTAAGACAAAGGCAAAAAAGATATTTTACAAGCATTAAAAAAATTGATGTGTACATTTTTGAAATCAGAAAAAAATTCTCTATCAAATGACACAAAAAGTAAAAATTACTTCCATAAGAAACAAAGTTGATGATAGTTAACCGGAGACGAAACGTCAAACTTCAAATTTAAAAGTAGCATCTTGTAGAGGGAAAAAAGTGGCCATAATAATGTGTCATTTATTATTAAATATCTTTGTAAACAACTATTAACTTCAGTAAAAAACAAAAACGATTTTCAAAATCTCGTTTTTTCCGGATATCTCCGAAAGTAGTCAGAATTTTCAGTTTCAAAACTGTTTTTGTTAAGCATCAAAATACACAACTTTGCCAAATTTACCACCTACCTATCTCTTACAGTTCCCGAGATACCCATGGTGCAGTGCCGGATTTAGGGTTTCTGCCGCTGTGGGCAAACATTTTTTGCCGCCCTTGACATATCACTATATCACCATTATTACAAGGTGGGAAAAGTAAGGCATTCATTGGCTATATTTGCAATGCAATGAATGTACTAACAGATTTTATTTTTGCTTCATTTCATTTACCGATTCACAGTTTACCTAAAAAATTTGAACGCATTTTAATTTTTCTGTTTTCCTCCAAATTTGCCGCCCTTACAATTTTGCCGCTGTGGGCAATTGCCCACGTTTGCCCCTTATATAAATACGGCACTGCCATGGTGGCCTTCGAATTTGAATCAGCCTGTATATTACTAATTTACAAAAGACCATCCCTCGAATGTAAGACATGGGGAACAAATGTATATTGAGGTATAAACGGCTAAAAAATTTTAAAAAAATCGGTATACCGTATGTCCCCGGATTGACTTTACAAGAAGAAAAACTTTTACTTTACTTTTTGACAAAAATGCATTCTCCATAAAAGCTTTTGGTTGTTCTAATTCGAACTTTCCCTACCGTTTCAGAGAAAAATACAAAAAAAAACGAGAATTTGGTTAAACTTTTTCCAAGTCCTAAAAGTCAAAACGCGTCTCTACTGTAATAACATTTCGTTAGTTACAAAGTCTTCGTTACCTGTTATTTGAATAGGCACTAGGATCGTTATAAGTATAACAAACACACTTCGTAATGACATTGAATAAAAACCTCTTTATTCAATGGTAACAATGAAAAAGAATTGAATTTCCAAAGGTGTTTTCTTTGAAATGTCGGCGTTTTACCGTTAAGTGAAGGAATCAAGAGTTTTACTGAGGGCCCTTCCAAACAAAAAGCCCCTGTCGCCACTTGTGAACCAATTTTACGATCTTAATTTTGAAAGTCCCCCATGCCAATAATTACGCGATTTTTACTTCATACGTTACGTTACAAGCGATTCATTATTCTCCTCAAGTTATGTGTGGTAGAGCGCTAATTATAATTTTGTTAACCTAGCAGTCTGTAAGGAGCCGTGAACGACCTTGCGTTTGTGTTTTGTATTTTCTTGTCGTGTGGTTATGCAAATCAAATTGCATTTTTTTTAAAGCTCCCTCTGTGTTGTTTGGGGCCCACTTAAAGAGAGTATAATGATTTAAATATTTGTATAGAAAA